TTCTCGGGCCATTATCTCCGTAACCGTTCAACTTTGGACATAGGTGTTTTGGGTTATATCGGCATACTTTAACATAAGGAACACCCTCCCGAAGTTTGGCACATTCCTCCTGGGACACCCTGTATATATATTACAGTAATGATTTTGATGTATGCAAAACTTAGATTATAGAAGACATTTTGGAATGAAATGATTGCATAAATTGGGGAGCTCCTGTACAGTTATAGGGAATTTAAATGCCAATTACTCTGGGCATTGGTGTCCAGATTTTAACATAGGGTTCTCTGTATTGCTAAATAAGACACTCAGGCCCACTTGACTGTGCATCTGCAGATGTAAGGTTATAAACATTAATAGTAAGTGCTGTATGTGGCCGCGCCATAGCTCAAGCGGTTACTTGCTGGTTTTCCACTGTGGTGGCCCGGGTTTGATCCCGGGTCTGGTCAGGTGGGATTTGTGGTGGACAAAGTGGTGCTGGGGCAGGTTTTCTCCGAGTACTTCGGTTTCCCCTGCCAATCTTCATTCTACCAATTGCTCCACAATCACCCTCACCTATCATCTAGGACTGGTACAATAGGCCAGAAGTGGCTGCAGTACAAGGGACTTAGTCCCACCCCACTAGCATTAAAAAAATGATACACAGCTGATAAGAATGTACTGTATTTGATCAAACTTTGTAGTTTCATAATTTTCCAAACAAAATTCACTGATACTGTTTGGCTTATTTTCCAGGAAGAAATGCACCAGGAGATTCCAGTTGCAGCTGACCCCCAGCTGGGTGGTTCAGAATCAGTGTACCTGGTTTCAGGCATAGATGTCCAGCAAAGAGATGTTACTCTTTTCAAGAAAGACTATGTTAATGTCACCGAGCAGAAGTTGCATGTTGCAGTTGATCACAAAAGTACGAGGTTCATGTGTGTGCCATATCTGCATGCTGAAGTGACCACAGTTTGATTCTGCTCACATATCTAATGAATATCAATGACAGAATGGCCAATCAATGAATGAAGAAACTGACTGACCAACTGACCAACCGACCAGCCAACTGAACCACTGGCTGACTTATTGTACAATTTTTAAGTCTACTGCTCATATCTTTTGTGACTAGGATGTTTTAGTTGATGTTGCATCAAGGTTATATACTGGATGAACAAGGAACTGAGGTTTGATTCCCAGCAAGGGCAAGTAATTTTTCTTTTCTCCTTGGAATCCAAACTGACTCTTTGACCCATCCAACCTCCTATGGAATGGGTACTATAGGCTGTTTGTGCAGGGATAAAGCAAGAGGACCCCAAAAATATGATTTCCCACTTGCCACAAGTGAATTGATGGAAACTGATGTTAAATATGTATGTAGCCACTATTTTTTTTTACTATATGGGATATGGATTTTGTTAAACTTCTTTGGGCCATGTTATTTCACTTGCTAGCTAATTTATTTGTTTGCCTATTAATCAATAAAATCCATCCACTCTGTGAACCAGGGTACATCATAACTTGTATAGGGAACCTTCTGAAAGAAAAGTTCTGTGTAAGTACTTCTGACTTTTCCACCAACATATAAATTAGGCCATTAAGTGATGACCAGGGCCCAGATTTTGATGACCTGAAAATATTTAAAAAATGACAGAAAAAATCCAGAAAAATTACTTAAAATATGACCCAAAAATGTAATAAACAGGGCCTGGATTTTGATGACCTGAAAATATTAAAAAAAGACCTATAAAGTGATCGAAAAAATCCAGAAAAATGACCTAAAGGAGAAAAGAAAGAACACTTTGCTTCCATGTTATTCACATTTCAGAAAACATGTGAAGAAAAATTCCCTAAAATGGCCAAAAATGACAAGAAATACCCTTAAAAGTCCAAAAATTTGCCAAAAAATTACCCCCAAAATGAAAAAATGACCTTAAACCTAAAAATGTCAAAAAATGACAAAAAATTACCTATAAAATTTACATTTCTGTAACCAGCAGCTCATATCTGAGATTTATATATTTAAGAGCATCACATAGGATACAAGGAAAAAAAAAAGTGACATGTCATCAAAATCCGCGCCCTGCTGATGACACACCCTTGTTTTTGTTGTAGGTGAAGTATATGATGCTTATCAAATGAGTTTTCAGCCTTCCCTAGGTAATGATTCATGTATGAATTGTTTAGGTTCAAGCAGTGTAATGGAACAGAGATATTCCAATGGCAGTAATGACGTTGTTGAGAAATCTGTCGGGGCTGAAGAGGATTTGCCTGAGAAACTGTCTGATTTTGAAACAAATGAATCAATAATGCTGGATGGTCAGGAATTTGACAGGGTTATACACAGTTTATCATCAGCGGGTGAAGGGATGGGTGATAGTATGGAGTCGCAACATGCTTTATCTGAAATGGAAGATCCTGGTGACGGACAGATGGTCTGCGGCACATACACATGTTCCAGCTGTGGGATCACCTTTAACTCTGTGATGGAACATGTAAGAATGTACCATGGTGGAGAGGAAGTTGTTATTGAGGTATATATTATGTCCTGATGGTCTAGATCAAGGGTCTCCAAACTACGGCCCGCGAAAGAATTGTGCAGAAATGTGCCAGTTGAACTAATTTTCCAATGAGTACTGGTAAAAAAAATACTTGCTCATAGATTTCAGATTCATTAATTAAGATTGTGTTTAAAATATATTGATATTCCATATTATGTTAATATTAATATTATTCACAATTTTACTAATTCTGGACCGTAAACTGCGCGGTATTTCTTCGTACTTGTTCGGCTTCGATCGGCAGTGTCACTTCGTGGCAATGTAGGTAGCGCGAGTAGTTTATTACTAGCTGTCTTGTGCACAAGACTTCTTGCAGTGGTGCAGTGTAATTGTAACAGATCATCATCACCTCAATTTAATCAGATTTTAAGAATGCGAAAAGAGTTCCATCATTCACATTAATGGATTTATTATAATTTGTGATTAAAATATGAGCATTTACTGCTACTGTCTGATGTCATTAATATACAATAATTTATTCTCACATACTTTGTATTTAGTTTATGAAATTCTGTGCTTTCAATAAAACTCGTATACCTAGAGTTATTAATTTCTCATTTTATCCGGCCCGTTGAAAGTGATGAATTACCTAATGTGGCCTGTGTTTCGAAAAGTTTGGAGACCCCTGGTCTAGATTCAACATGCTGGTCTTTTGTGTAGAGGATCTTTCAATAATACTGTCTTGTGGCATATGATGGCATATAGTCTGGTAAATGTTTACCAGTGTTTGAGAAGAACTGCTGCCTCTGTCTTCAGGGTAGATTCCCTGAGGATAGAGGCAGATATTGGTATGAAACCTTTTGTCAGACTTTGTAGCATCACGTCCCTGAAGATGGTAGTATTCGTGGTCGTTGCCACAAGAACCTCAGATCTCACATCAAATGTTTATAAGGCAAGTGTTTTCAAACTGTTTGATACCACAACCCCCTAAAAAATACATAAATATATGTGGCTCCCTGTCAGCATATATGTATTTATTAATGGATCGGGATTATAGAGACAGATTCAGCATGCTTGTAATTATTGCTGTCTATCGACTGCAGCTGTGTTCTCCAAATGTGTCTGTATTAGTTTTACTGACCTGCTGACTTGTTGAAACTTACGGATACAGCTCTATTTCAAACAGTTTTTGAGAACTTGTTGACCCCCATCACAGTAGCTTGGGATCAGCTAGGTGTCACAACCCACAGTCTGACGAACAGTGAATTAAATAGTTTAGAATCACGCAGTGAAATAAATTTTAATGCAAATTTTAGTGGTAATGTATTTTTATAAGTGGTTCCTTATAGAATTTGCTAGAAATAATGCTTCATTGCATGAAACACCATAGAACATAGTTATATAGCAGTACAGGGGCTAATTTATTTAAATAAATTAAAATAAACTAATATATTTTAAACAGAATAATTCTTTTTATAGTCATGAACAGTAAATGAGTTGTTGTTGTAGATGGCAGTGTGCAATTTTGTGAATCCTGAAATTAACCCAATGGTTAGTTTAGGGTTGAGTCTATTATATTAACTAACAGAAACTAACTCCGTGGCCTGTAGTCTGCAAGTGAACTATGCTGACCGAGTGACCGCCGCTTGTCAGTGAAGTTAGTGCCAACTTTTTAGTGGATAGAGGGGTGTCATGTGCTCAGTGCAACAAATCCCCCATGGCTGTTAATTTCAGTGCTTTATTTCATTTCCAGGTACCACAGGCTAAGAAAATTGCCCTTGAGAAGTTGATTAGATCTTCAAAGGAAGTTTTGGGAGCCCATGATGAGCAGATGATGGATATTTTACCTCAGTCTAATGATGTTAATGAGACGGCAGGTCTGGAAGAGAGAACGGGCGCAACAGATTTTGTGTCTGGCTTTTCTGAAATTCAGCAACAGTCATCAGAATTTCATCCAGAAAACCAAACGAATGCTTCAAATCATGCTGCTGCTGCTAATGGTGAAAGTCATGAAAATGTCAAACCATATCCATGGGCTAAGGAGAGGACTCGAGTTGTTGCAGATGAAGAGAAAATAAAGCAAATTGTTCCTGACCCGAAACGGGTTATTCCCTCTGTTCATGTAAGAGAAGAACATGTAACTGGTGAGGTGAAATATGTCAGCAAAGAGGTGAAAATTGGCAGATTCTGGGAAACTAAACCTGATACGGATTCAAATAATGAAAGTGCTAATACAAATAATAATATTAAAGTGCCCATATTATCTGTGCCTGGTAGGCTGAAGATGGAAAGTAAGAGGCAACTTTTCAAGAAGGACACTAGAACCAGCATTGAGAAATTATTTAGTGGTAATTTTTTATTAAAAGGGTCTGGGGGTCGTGGAACTAGGCCAGGACCCTATCTTGGGGTAAATAGGGTTCCAGAAGTAAAGGTAATTATGAGCCCTGGTGACAAAGGAATAGAAAATGCAATCTCTGTGTTTACATGTAGTACATGTCAGCAAGAATTTGGTAATGTGTCTGCATTCGAAAGACATTCTTGTACCATCGCAAAAATGTGTACCTTGGTCTGTAAGTTGTGTGACGAGGATATAGTTGATATGAAGGAAATGCGTTCGCACATGGAATCAGTTCACAATGTTAAGTCCGAGATGCCGAACATGATGAAAAGGAAGTACAACATGCAGATGTTACCTGCGCCCGTGAAGTGTGAATCGTGCGATATGACGTTCACAACGATAAGAGCTTTGAAGTTGCACAGGAAGGTGCATGAACGGGCAGAACTGAAAGAACTGAAAGTCCCTCTGGAGTGTCCAGTTTGCCATAATATGTGCTCAACCAGTCGAACGTTGAAGCAGCACATGAAAGTGCACGCAAAACCATTGCCTGGGAAGAAAATTGAAGATGGTGCTGGGGCAACCGAAGAGGATGTGAATGCTAAGGCAGAGAAGGGCGAGACACCCAGTTCGCTTGCATGTAAAGTGTGTTGTAAGCCATTCAGCAGTAATGATGAGTTGCGGGTGCATTGGCAGGAACATCTGATTAAAGAGGAAGATGAGGAGGATGAAGAAGAAGAAAAACTGGTAGAGAAGACAGATGATGGGTCAATGGAACCTGCAGTGCCGGAGGAGGATGGTATGCAGAACAAGAAGAACACTGTGCCATGCGCGAGGTGTCACAAGGAGATAGACAAGTGCTGTAAAGAGGTGGGTATATCCTGTATACAGATGGATCTTTTGACGAACACCTTTGTATATCTGACAGGTTCTCACACACTCATGGAGCTGAGCCCTTCTTGAGGAGAAACCAAGTCTGCAGCTACTCAAGACTTTCCCAGCATTTTATGGAACCCGAAAGTTCATTACTGTGCTCACAAGAGCCCTCCACTGGTCCCTATCCTGAGCCAGATCAATCCAGTCCATACCATCCCATCCTATCTCTTTAAGATCCATTTTAATATTGTCCACCCACCTATGCCTTTGTCTTCCCAGGGGTCTTTTTCTTTCTGGCTTTCCCACCGATATCCTATATGCATTCCTCTTCTCTCCCATTTGTGCTACATGCCCTGTCCACCTCATCCTCCTTGAATTGATACTTGGAGAAGAGTACAAGTTATGAAGCTCCTCATTATGCAGTTTTCTCCAACCTCCTGTCACTTCATCTCTCTTCAGTCCAAATATTCTCCTCAACACCCTGTTCTCAAACACCCTCAGTCTATGTTCGTCCCTTAATGTCAGAGACCAAGTTTCACACCCATTCAGAACCACCGGCAAAATTATAGTTTTGTATATTCTGATTTTTGTTTTTAGACAGCAGACGAGAAGACAAAAGGTCTGGACTTAATGGTAGCAAGCATTGCCCGAGTTCAATCTCATCTTAATTTCCTTTTGAATCAGGTTTTGATTTGTTATAGCTGTTCCCAAATTTCTGAACTGTGCCAGGTCCTCATACAGTGGACACACTTATAGTTAAGAAAGTGTCTCACATTACCTTCTTTTGCATATATGGTTCAAGCCACATGTAAAATACAGTGATAGTATATATATTACACCACCCAATTAGAAGACAATACATTTGACATAAACTATGTAGGTCGTACCGAAAGTCATGAGCAACTTTTTTTTTGCATGCAACCTGGGAACAGCAGACGAAAAAGAGTACGGTGGTAGATGGAACCAGCTGTTGTGTTAACCTTGAGTGACTTGTGACGTCAGTAGCTTGCATCACGTGACCAGTATCACTCCTAACAAAATGGCCTACAACGATATGTCGTTTCACCAGCATGCTGTCATCGAATTTCTTGTGAAAGAGGAAATCCCTGCTGCAGAAATTCACCAGAGACTTCAGCGTGCTTATGGAAGTGTGTGCATTGGTGCGAGCAGTGTTCGAAGATGGGTGAAACATTTTAAAGATGGGAACACCAGCATCGAAGATGAGCCTCAGAGCAGTCGTCCTTGAACAGCCTCAACTGAATGCAACAAGGAAAGAGTGGATGAGATCATTCAAGATGACAGGCATGTGACTGTGGACACAATAGCCCGAAAACTTGGAATAGGGCACAGTGCAGTACAGGAGATGTTTGAAAGCTTGGGCTATAGGAAAGTCTGTGCTCGTTGCATCCTGCGGTTGTTGACCGAAGACCACAAAGGTCAGCGAAAAGCCATCACCTCAGAACTGCTGCAGAGATATCGACAGGAAGGTGATGATTTTTTGCTCTGTATTGTGACAGGTGACGAAAGCTGGTTTCACCATTTCAAGCCTGAAACGAAACGGCAGAGTATGGAATGGCACCATTTGCTTTCTCCATCAAAAAAGAAGGTAAAGACAGTGCCATCAGCTGTGAAGGTGATGGGCACAGTCTTCTGGGATGCAGAGGGGTTTGTTCTGGCCGAATTCCTGGAACCTGGGCAAACCATCAATGCTTCTTGTTATGTCCAGACACTGCACAAGTTCCGTCGTGCATTGCACGATAAACATCCGGGATGAAACATCATCATCCTGCATGACATTTGAAGCAGTTGCAAAGATGGGGTGGGAAGTTCTTCCACACCTCTCCCAGAGCCCTGATCTGGCACCCTCCGACTACCATCTTTTTGGATTTGTGAAATATCAGCTGCGTGGACAACATTTTGAGACAAGGGAGGCAATTCAGAAAGCAGTGCGTCAGTGTCTTCGGATGGCTGGAACAGAATTTTACAGAAGGAGAATATTCAAACTCCCAGAACACTGGGAGAAGTGTGTACAAAGAAGTGGTGATTATGTGGAAAAATAGAGAAAGGTCTATAGATTGAGGTGGTGTATTTGGTTTGTCAATAATAAAGCATGTTACTTCACAAAAAACTGTTGCTCATGACTTTCAGTACTACCCTCGTATGATGGTATTTCAATAGTGTTGTTTTTTTTGTCATGTTCATAAGCATTGCAAACCTCAGAATAATGTTAAACACACAAGCCTGTTCAAGTGAAACTTGTTCACATGTTCATGTGGGACAATTAATCAAATCCATGGTGATGTGGTGGTTCCAGCAACAGCCCAGGGAGTTCTTTCTAGAAGGTAGCCATTATCTGGTGTGTCAGTGAGAAGCCTGCCTCATTGGGTCTATTCCTTTGCCAAGAACAGTCCTTCAATGGGTTTAATTTAAATAACCCTCATACTTTTCCATATTTTCCTAAAATGTAGCTTATACAGATGGTACATTTCTTTTCTGCATCTTGCAATTGCAAGCATTACAAAGTTTCTCATTTAACACTTGAAACATTAAAATTAAAATTAAAATATGTGACTGGGAAGATTTTCGAGAGCTTCATTTAGGTAGAAAGCTAGAATTGAAGTTGCCCTTGTGGCTAAGAACTGTGACAAGAATGTAAGATTTGAGGTTAACAAGAATGTTTATAGGGGGTTTTAAGATATGACTTGACACAGTCTAGACCTCAACACAATAGAGGTGAGTGGTCAGTTCCACTTGGTGGCTGCTTTATCCTGTGGGAAAGAACTCACAATATCCATAGAGTAGGAGTTGCATAGACCTCAGTGGCCTCCGTAGTCTAGGGGTAACGTTCCCACCTCATGACTCAAGGTATGTGGGTTTGAACCCCGTGGAGGTCGTGGAATTTTTAAGGGTGGAAAAATTCAAGGAACAAGTCCTCCGGGAGGGACTTTAAGCCGTGTGTCCCGTGTCGTAGACTTACAGCACGCAAAAGATCCTCATGTCTCTAGGAGACCTCTGAGCAAAATTAGGCAAAAGTTTCCCACCCAAGTAGTTTCCAATTCCTCCAGTAGATGGGGAAGTATCAGGGACCACTGCCAGAGAGGGCTGAACTTGCTGGCAGAACAGGGCTGACCTTGCTGGCAGAACAGGGCTGATAGCGAGCACCAGTACTGGAAGGGCATGGCGACTGGTAGAATATTAAAGGGGGAGGCACAGTAGATTAACAACTAGTCGCAGTGCATGGGGAAACCCACCCCCCTCCAATAATAATAATAATAATAATAATAATAAATAATGCATAGACCTCACAGCTGGTCATTGTGTGATGGAGAAAGAAAAATTCTTCTTCTACCAAGAACTTCACTCCAGCTGTCCACCCTGTAGTCAGTGACTTCACTGATTAAATACATAAATAAAAAGAAAACATTGAGATGTGGTTGAAATAAGTAATATTACAGTACGTTTAAACTAAGAAAGAAATATTAGGATGTTACAGATGTGAAAAGAATTTCATAAATATTTAAGGTTCTGTGAGTTTAGTGTTCAAATGTTTTGTCTCCCAGATGAAAGTTCACTTTGCATCTGATTTATATGCAGGAACATATGGCGAAACATTTCTCCCCTCTGAGGTATGATTGTCCAGTTTGCAACAAGACCTTCAGCAAACATGGCCACCTCAACATGCACATGCGAATCCACAGAGGATTCAAAGAATGCTCATGCATCCACTGTGGAAAGATATTTGCAAACATGAATCTTCTGAGGACACACGTTCAGTCTCACATGATCCACCGTCCTTACAAATGTGGTTTCTGTGGACGTGGCTTCTTCCGACCTCATGACAAGGTAGAGCATGAACGTGTTCATACAGGAGAGAAGCCTTATCACTGCTCAGTGTGTGGCATGCAGTTCAGAGTGCGATATTGTCTCACCCTCCACATGAGGCGACACACAGGTATCCGTCCCTACAACTGCAAGGTGTGTGGCAAAACGTTCCGAACTGGCACAGCATTCAAGGCTCACACTAAGATCCATCTGGATGAACGTGCTTACAAGTATGTCTAACTTTCTGTTTTCTGATAACTTTCTTGCTTCTTCCTCATGGTTTACTTAATGACATTCTATCATTTGCGTATGTTATTTGGTTTTAGAATGAAAAGTATTAGGATTATCAGGAATGGTGGGTTTGGGCAGATAAGTAGGAAGTCTTTGGGTCAGTCCTAGGCAACTTCATATGAAATTTATGGTGAATGAAGTGGGAGTATAACAGGTTTTTCTTTTGACTTTTCTGTCACAGTTAGCCCAGATAAGGAAAGTAAACAAAAACTTAATATTGTGCATATGTTTAGAATCTTATGGATTGTTTTGAACTGATTGCATATGCTATGGGACTTCATATTGCATCTGTAGGAGGACTGTTAGTTTGGTGATTATGTCTGTAATGACTGAAATAAGTTAGGGATTCTGATACATTTGGTCTCTTTAGTTTAATTATCTGGAAAACTGTAAGTCTTAACATAAGAAGTGCATTGAAGTAAAATGCATGTTCCATTTTTCTCTATATGACTGTTATTCAAAACATCATTTTTGTATTGTAAATGTTTAGTGGGTTACATTTGAAGTGCATTAGAAATCTGTGTAAATTGTTCATTATTATTATCTGATTTGAACTGAAATGTGATCGTATTGACAGATTTTAGTAGAACACTTACCAGTGTCAAATTTGTTGAAATTCTATTCAGTCGTTTTTGAGTTGGTACATATATTCAGTTGGGCAGATGGACATGGAAAAGCTAATAGGCACAGTTTGCATCCTTTTGTTGCATATGATCCCAAAAGGAATATATTTCTGATGGAAATATTATAGTTTTAACTGAACAGATAAACTACAAGTAGCTTTCATTGTCTCCCTGTAAAGAAATGTATTTAATTGTGGGAAAAAAGTAATTGAAAATTAGGCTTTTTATGAGCGACACCATTGGAAGTTATGGTGTAACCGAGGCCACGCCATAGTTCAAGCGGTTAGTCACTGGCTTCCCACTGCAGCGGCCCAGGTTTGATCCTGGGTCTGGTCAAGTGAGGTTTGTGGTGGACAAAGTGGTGCTGGGGCAGGTTTTCTCCGAGTACTTCGGTTTCTCCTGCCAATTTCATTCCACCAATTGCTCTACAATCACCCTCACCTATCATCTGGGGCTGGTACAATAGGCCAGAAGTGGCCGCAGTACAAGGGACTTTGTCCCACCCCACTAGCAATAAAAAAATATATGGTGTAGCCTATTCTTAATAGTACACAGACTTGTAGAATTACTGGTAACTTACCTATGAATCTGTTCACAGAAAAACAGCCCTCAGTTAAAGAAAGCCAAGTTACAAAGTTTAAATTTTTTTGTGCAAGTTTGTTTTAAAACTGTGCTCATAAATGCTGTAAATGCATTCACACTAAATTTGTAGTGGGATACTTGATCTAATTTTTAAAAAGAAATAGTAACAAAGGTAGTTTATGTGTATTTTGAATCAAAGATTGCTATTGTAATGAACCAGCCACTACTACAGAACTTTGATCAGTGAATATACAAGGTACTGCATTTTAGAGATATTTAAATGGCCCTGAAAACTTTGCAAAAAAATTCCTTTTGATTTAGAAAAATTTCACCATAAACATTCTACTGTAGTACTATTGCTGTTTTGTGTGAATAGCCAGAAGTCTTGTTCTCTTCAGATCAATGAAAGCTGAATAACTGAGTTGGGATTGATGTAAGAAGAAAAAGAAAGTGGTATCAATGTTTTCTAAAATGGAAACACCCTTTGGACAACCCTTGATCATTTAGGTTGATTCCTATTGGCATTCAGAATTCTGAATACTCCACTTTGCAGTTTATCCACCATAAATGAGTTAATTTAGGTTTTGCAGTACATGTACAGTTGAACTTCCAATATTTGAAACAGAATTACTTTTTTTTAATTCATGAAAGTATACCTGTCCCCGAAATACATAACTGCAGCTCATAACCTGTAAGTTTATAACAGAAATGTTTTCCATACTTAGTACCTTTGATTATTCTCATAACTTGTCAGTATCTTTAAATCAAAGCAGTCCAGATGTGGTAACTGGGCACTTAGCATGTTGTAATGATATGGGATTTGAGATATTCATGGTGGTCCCATCTGACAGAGGATTTACATAAGATACATTAAGCAACAGAGGAATGTAGAAAATTACATAATAAGGAATTGTAAAAATTTGTACTCATCTCCCACTGATCGAGCAACTGCCGCTTGTTTGACAAAGTCAGTGCCACATTTAGCAGATAGAGGTTGTTGTGTGGTCATCGCAACAGATCCCACGGCTGTTAATTTCGATTTTCTAGACCGGAGCCGCTATTTCCTTGAAATAGCTCCTCACTTATCCTCACAGGGCTGAGCGGACCCCGTTCCATACCCACTACTTCGCAGAAAATCTGGTGGTGATTGAAATCGAACCTGGGACCTCTGGATATGTAGCCAGGAACTCTGACCACTAGACCACAGAGGCAGTCCATATAGTTTGCTTGTGGATTACAGGCCACAGAGTTTGTTTCTGTTTATTTTTGTACTCCAACTACTATCGAAATTGTTAAATCAAGAAGCATGAAATAATGGATATATGTAAGACATATAAGGAAACATGAAATTCATGTAAAATTTGGTCAGAAAACCGTAAAGAATCCATTTGTAAGGCATCTAGGCCTACTGTAGATGGAAGGGTACTATTAAAAGGTGTCTTTCAGAAGTGGAATGTGTACTTATGTATTGAACTGAAATGGATAATTTGTATCTTTGACTTCTGTAACAGCAGTGAGGTTTTTGACCTCCAGAATAACTGTAAACTAGCCGTGAATACCATGTGGTTATTTAGTCTGCAAATCTCATGATATTCTGGTTTTGTAATGCTGCAGTTTTGAATAACACTAATCTATCTAGTCGCAGTGTTGATCCACATCTGTAAAGTATACACTAACATATATATCTGATGTTACCTTCATTTGTTCTCTGTCAGTTTATAGTATGATTTCTTATTTTTCTGTAACTGAATTTGTTTTTATTTCACTTGGGATTCAAGTTGAGGAAGTTCTTCTGTATGTGTGATACATCTTATCCTTGGAGGCAAGAATAGCATGTCAGTTTAATATTCTGGTTCAGGTGTCCCTCCTGCCCGAAGAAGTTCAACACATTGATCCAACTTCTGGGTCACAAGAACAGCCATACGAAGCCCTACTCCTGTGTGGAATGCAACCGGCCATTTTCATCCCTCTATGCTGTTCGGAAGCATATGGAATCTCATGAGGAGGGGAACAGTGGCAAGGTGCCCCTCAAGTTCCAGTGTGATGTATGTGGGGCATCTTACGCACGCAGGTTTGCTCTCAAGGATCACCTCAAGGTCCATGGTCCTAATATTCCTTCAACAGCAGCTGATAAAAATTGCTCCGATGATTCATCAAGTGACATATCATGAGCTGACATTTGGTTTTCTTAGTGACTGATGTTAACACAGGAAAGTGAAATTTACAGCACACACATTTGGATTTTGTCAAATGACAAACTGTTTACAGTCAGCAATCTGTAACTGAGAATAAATGCACAGTAGGTCAGACAGAATTGAGTTATTTCCCATGTACCAGGTGTTATGTGTGTAAATAAAGAAAACCGTTGCATTTTGTGCACACATTAACGTACTGAGGAGTTTGGTGTAGTTCTGAGACTCTTAAGGCTATTGTTCTTAATTTATATGGCTTGAATTGAATCGTTCTCCGTGGAGCAATATTATATACAGAGTCCTCCTGTGCAATGCCTGGTTATTGCTGGATGGGGCTTGTTTTGGAAATGTAGTGCTATGCATACTTAAAAGTTTACATTTATTTGTTCTGCTGCATTCTCTTTGCATTTATTATCTTCAATTGGAAGATATGTTCTCTTGACACACCTTTCCCAGATATCCCTAACTCTGAGCAGGTTTTCACCCAGAGTGTTAAGACAGATTCTGTTACTGTGATTTTCTTCAAAACTGTTTCGTTGGAAAGTGCCTTAGCTTTACACAAATGGCTTTCACTTACGTGGTTTGAATCTGAGTCAGGTTACCTACCATCATAACTTTATTTGCCCATGTGAATATCAAAATACAGGGAGATCGAGAAGTCATGCACGTCACACTAACCAATTCTATTTTGCTGGTTTAATGCACAAACTACAAGACATAGAGCACTTTTTTTTTAATGCTAGTGGGGTGGGACTAAGTCCCTTGTACTGCAGCCACTTCTGGCCTATTGTACCAGCCCCAGATGATAGGTGAGGGTGATTGTGGTGCAATTGGTGGAATGAAGATTGGCAGGGGAAACCGAAGTCCTCGGAGAAAACCTGCCCCAGCACCACTTTGTCCACCACAAATCCCACTTGACCAGACCCAGGATCGAACCCGGGCCACCGCGGTGGGAAGCCAGCAACGAACCGATTGAGCTATGGCGCAGCCACATACAGCACTTACTATTAATGTTTATAACCATACATCTTATAAATGCAAAATTAAATCATGTCTTTACAACATATGCCCAAAATGGCTTCCCTGTTCAGCAATGCACGTGTGAGCTCTTTTTACCATGTTTGAGGCCACTTTGTGGAGCACCTGTAAACTGATGCTGTTAAACGCCGTCATAATGTTCCTCTTGAGGTCATCCACTGTATGCTGATTATTTTTATAGACAATTCATTTGAGGTACCCCCAAAAGAAAAATCTGCGGGTGACAAATGGGGCAAACGCGGGGGCCAGAATCCTTTCGAAATGAGACAGTCATCGAAAACTTGCCAAGAACTGCATGGTTTCATTAGATGTGTGACATGTGGCACTGTCTTGCTGCAACCAACAGTCACGTTCATCAACTTCAAGAAGCGCAATAAACTGTGTAATGGTGTCTTGGTACACTGGACTGTTCACTGTTGTTTCAAAGAAAATTGGCCCCACTATTCGACAGCATGATACAGCACACCACACTCCAATTTCCTGACATTGCAAGAACTTTTCATATAACATGTGGATTTTCCGATGACCAAATCTTATTCTTTTGACTGTTCATGTAGCCACTAAGGTGAAACCATGCTTCGTCAGTGAAGAAAACCCGATCAAACTCTTCAGTTCCATGGTTGTCAACAAATTCTCGAAACCATCTACAGTACACTAAGCGTTTTTCTTTATGCAAGTCCTTCAGTTCCTCCACACAGCGAACTCGATATGCACAAAGGTGTAACTTCTTCATCGCTTTCTGAGCACTTCCGTACGAAATCCCTGATTGCGCTGATAGTCTCCTCAGGCTTTTTGAAGGGGAATGCTGCAACATTTTCTCCACGTCAGCCAGTTTAGCCTCAGTAAAACTAGCTGGTCTCCCGGATCTCTTCCTATCTGAAACTGATCCACATCCCCGAAATTGGTTGATTATTCTCGTTATCGCCGAATTGTTAGGAACTGCAGAATCCGGATATTCCCGACAAACTCATCTGCGACACGTGCATAAGAACGACTGGCGAAATAATGTTCCACAATGAAAACACATTCTTGGGAAAACGACATGTCTGTCACGCAATAAACAAAGCTATACTGCAGACGTCGTATGACAGATACACAACAGATGGCGTTTCTACTCGTTGTTAGTACTCCTACAGTACCATCTAGCGGTAGGAGATATAATTATATTAACTGCAATACAATTTATAACATCTTTTAGTTTGATGTGCACGACTTTACGATCTCCCTGTAATACCTTACAGTGAACTGTGGCCACCACCTTCCATATCCTTAGTTATTCACTTTTCTTGATTAACTTCCAATCTCCTTTGTTAAAGTAGAATCAGTGAAGTTGAAAGAGGGTTGTTAAATCACCCAGGAATGCAGCTGAACATCCCTTCTAAATCAGAGGAGTCACAGGTTTCACTGGATTAGCCATTGCCATGTTGCTAACCTCATTGACCAAATGAAACATGTTTTGCTATGCTTGTGATTGGCTGATCTGACTGAGTATAGATACTGGTTTTCTGTTGCATATAATTTATTGGCAGTTAATGAATGCAAGATGTAGTTTTCATTTTCTACACACTCAGCTTTGTATGTATGGGATGGGTATCTGGCATTTTGTTCTTGTATAGTTTGAAGGATGGAAGGTGCGAATATATTGGATAAGCAGTCTCGGACAGTCTCCTCCACCTAGGGGGTTGGGCGTGGGGCTAACATCTCCTCGCTGTAAAAAATAAAGTTCTTACAATAATTCTCAAGAAGCCTCGGGCCTGGATGGATCCTCTGGATAAATGACCTAAGCTAAAGAAAATGGACATGAGATTCGGAACGTGGAACGTCAGAAATTTGTATAGGGCAGGTTCGCTCAGGACAGTGGCGGAAGAAATCTTAAAATATAAGTTAGATGTAGTGGGAGTACAGGAGGTCAGATGGGATGGAGTTGGCATCGCACCAGCAGGCAAATATACATTTTTCTATGGAAAAGGGAATGAAATCATGAATTAGGTACAGTTACTATGATACAAGCTGGGTTGTGGGTTCGATTCCTGTTGAGGCTATTGGATTTTTGAATTAACCTAATCTTTCCAGGACACCATGGCCCTGTGGTTGACTAAGCCTCTAACAGAAATGAGTACCACGAATCTTCCAGATGGTAAAGGTAGCCACCTCATAAGGCTGACAGACTCTCTGCCATGTGTGGGCCAATTGTCTAGAAAATATGGGATCCTCGATGTCTCACAACCCTATGGGCCTACATGACCTCTTACAGGGATTGCTCTACTCCCCCCCTCCCTCACATACAAGCGTAGAGCATCACTGCTATGCCAGTCTTCTTGGTCTGAGACCAGACAGGTTTTATGAACCATAACTGGAAGCTTTAGCCAGAACATTTGCATATAGGTAATAGTGGGCTGTAGATTATGTACATATACAAAAACTGGTTAAGTTTTACTTGGATGCTGTAAACATTTGGTTCATGTTAAGGATCTGCATCACACTTATCTTTGGTTTCGAGACTCTGGGGCTGATCTGAGTGAGATTTTGCACCATATATCAGTCCTGCCAGGCAAATGCTGGGATAGTATCTCAAATTAGCCTATGGGAACTGCCCATGACTGCTTCCTTCCACATCTTTTCTGACTCATTATTTTCCCATCCTACCATTTGAAGCTATGTATTGTGAGCCACTTACAGTGTTATTAAATGTACAGTAAATCGAATAAACAGGCCCTGAATGCTTAGTATATATATACTTACAAATTAAAATTCTATGACATATTAGCCTTGGAAAGTGATAAGCTTAGACAGTATCATGACAGGCATAGGTTGAACAGCTGGGATTTATTTCTTATCAAGTACATTTGAAATGCTTCTTTTTACCACCAAATCTGAAATGCTTTTAGGATCCAACCAACCTGCTATACAGCAGTACCGAAGGCACTGTTACCTTCACAGGGGGATTCAGGAGTGTAGAACATAACAGTTACCATGGTCTGAGGTTCAGAAATGGTGTACCTTCACCTCCACTTCCCATGTTATAACCTCATGGCATGGTGTTTAGACACAGGAGTAAATATATCTTTACCTTTAACAGATGAATACGCAAGTAAGAAATAAACAGAAAATTTTTTCAAAGAAACTGTTGTATATGCCACCTGAGTATTCATGCAAATTCTGGACATTCTTCATATTTTGAACTGAATGTGTGCCTTGATCTTGGTGGTAGAGTATTTGTTGCTTGAATTTCTTTGATGGATCTGTGTTTGATTGTATTTGTATAATGCTGTTGAATGTTTGTGAACTGATTATCTAAGCCATAAATGGTTTTGCATGTTATGCTGATATTTAAGTACAAACAACTGAAACTTTGAACTTTTAAGCACTGGTCTTAACCCTAAATGTGCCAGTTACATGAACTGAATCAATGTATATATTAAAACAAAACTGTTTATATATATTTGTGACCAAATAAACCCATCCTAACCCTACCGAATTTAGTGAATGTTATACCTACCGTGAACCTCTAACTCTGAACAGTCTAAGATGTGAATAAATGTTCAGAAATAGGTATATCTTATGTATAAATTCATTGATATAGATGCTTTTCTTTGTCTTTTATTTTGGTCATGTGAATATTATCTGTGCATATTTCTGTGTCTTGCAAAATGTTATTCAAAATATGTATATTCTTGGAGTCAGAGATTTAAACAGGGACATGCTGAAATAAATCCATTTATTCAAATATGAATTAAATTTACATATATCCTTTTGTGTTATAACATTTCCTGAACCTGGTTTTCTTATAGTTAACAAGGAGGCTTACAGATGGTAGGACATGCTAGTTATGTTAATTTGTTCGTGTTAATTGAAAGAAAAAGTGCTGCAAAGAATAGAAATGCATTTTCTTCCCAGAATAGCATGGAAATATCAACCAACCAGAAGAGAAATACTAAGAATGCAGTGAAATATTGAGCTGGAATGTGCCGTGGGTCCTAGGCCATAAGGATGATCATGATGAAAGAAAAATTGTAACCTAGGTTGAATTTGAAATAGCATTTTCTGTGAGTAGTGTCTTCTACCAACATAATCATAGGAAATTTCTCCCAAATCCTTAGCCTTAATCTTCATGCAAAAACCATCCAAATATATTCCTGCATGCAGAATTTGAGTGGCAATATGTTCTTCAATGAAAATTTGTAGTATACAACAATACATGCTACAAATGTGCCTCTAATTTATAAATATTTTCATGTAGCACGTTTTCAGTAATATAAGAGGTGTAAATAGTTCACATGAAATGTTAAAATTTGGCAGGCAGGATTATTTATGAGGTCCATTTTCAGATGCCATAGAAGTTAAAATATTTGGATCTGTCAAAGCAGAACATGTTGTAGTGATAACATAAACGTGGGCATTTGAGTTTTACACTCAATGTGTTGTTGTATATAGAGGTTATGTCGTTATTGTAAAGGGTAATTGTTATGTTATATGGAATTATTGTAAATTAATATGGAAGAATATGTAAAATATTGTAATAACTTTTGACTAAGACTGTACAAGTGGAATATTGTAACTTGGACTTTCACCAATGTTATTTGTTGAAACTACTGAAATTTTCTTGTTTTGATGTTAGAAAATGAGGGAAACTCTTGACACTATCGCTCTTAAACTTTCAATGCTCAACCCTGAGGATGCATTGGTAAAGGCCTGAGACATATGGGAAGATACCCAAATAGATAATATGTCATAAAGAAGTGGAACACTCTGGAAAGCTTCCATTAGGCAACACCCCAAATAATCAGTATAAATACTGAGTCCATAGCAGTTGCAGTTCACTTTCTCTCTGATGTGATACGACGTTTAGTCTGTGTGGATGATACTCTGTCTGTTAGGGGAAAGTCGGCCTTGTGCAAATGGCCTTACGCATTCACCTGCTCATCTAGTTATTATATTTCTTGCGTTTAATAGACACCTTGTTTTTAAGTTACATCTTCCAGCTGTTCTCATTTCCACCGGTGATGGCTCAACCCACTCTCCACTTGACCAATCCATCATACCCAGACTATGGGCACAGTACACAACACTGGTGACCAAAGTGGGTACGCAACAGTGTAACTTGCTGTATGGAAGAAGTGTTCTCTTAGTTGTCAAGTTGAATGAAACTACAGTACATGTCCAGGTACCAAGGCCTGAATTGGAAGTGTCCATTACTTCTGCAAGCAGAGTTGCTTATAGACTCTTATTACAATGTTCAATTGTGGTCCTTCTAAAGATAACATACAAATGAATAAAACTTTAAAACTGTTTATGTACTACACAGTCCATCAACAATGCAACAAATTGTTCCCTCTTTCTTTCACTTTCACTTTCACTTTCAACACATGTTTTGGCCCTAAATGGCCATCTTCAGGTGGCTTACTATGCTAAAACTGCTACACTGCACTAATATTATCCATTCATCACATATGCAACTGCACACTTCATGATTCAAAATGTCATAGTTGCAGTCTAACTAGTATACGCTAAAATAGCACATGCTGTTGGTCACTTATTTTAAATCAAATAAAATCTATTAAAAATTTCTTTTAAATTTTGCAAAATTCTTATTACACCTCACAAGGGGCATCATCCACTTGTTGAGATCTGTATCCTTTTCTTCAGATGTTTCATTGTAGCAGCCTGTTTTCCTGTTCATAAGCCCATGGTTGTGTTACGTCTGCAATCTGTGCATTTCAAATGCACCAATGACTCATTCTATATTTTCCTTATAGTGCATCCTTCGGCCACTTGTCATCGCAGGCATATTGTGAAGGGGGTTCTGATAAGTAATTTTCTTCCTCTAGTGCTCCTTTTTGTATAGAAACAAATATTAATTTATATTTCCACAGCTGGCTCTAGGCCCAACCCAGCATTGTATCTAGTGGATACCAGGGGCTTTCCCCATGGATAGGATCACTGGGGTGTGAGGCTGACAGTTCACCTCCATCTAGTGCTGAGGTTAAAGAATGCATGGAGTTATACATCCATTCCTATACCTGTCTTCATGGCAAGGTGGTTAATTATACACAAGGGCAACTTTACCCTTTTTGACCTTTACATGAAAGTTTCATGCCAGTTTGATATTACGAATAATTTTAGGATATAAGAAATTATTTGTACAAAATCTAAAGATATGGTTCCTATAATGTGCCTGGTGTTTTGTGTAAGTACAGTATAATGAAATAGAGAAAGACCAAACGGGAAAGGATTTGGGGTATGTGTTGGAAGACGGAAATGTATATAGATTTTTAATTTTGCTTGAATCATTTTTTTTTAAATACAGAGAATTGTGGTAGATGCCTGGTTTGCCCTAGTTTTCCGCCCTGAAGATGTAGGCAGCATGACCTTCAGAAACCTTTGTATCCACCTATGAGATTATACCCAGAAGACCTCATCAGAGCATGTGTATTTATTTGCAGTCTCTTCTTTATTTGACCGCTGCATGCAGATATGGAAGATCCATGCGGAGACAGAGTTCGGCTAGCGATAATCTGTAGCCTAGCAACCACACTTTGATAATGGCTTAAAGTATGCGCAGTTCAAGTTTGAATGCCAGTGAGATGACATGCAAGATAGTAGACGCAAGTCTGACGTTATATGAAGGTGGTATATTTCATTAATTTGTTTTAATGTTTGTATATCTTCTAGATAAAAGTGTAGCCCATGGTTGACCAGTACTTTTCGGTGAGACACACAAAGATTGAACATTCTGTATTCTGTGTGTAATGCAGATACCACTTTATGAAGACTTGCTTTGAGTGGAAGATAAACACTGGAGCTAATTGAAGACGAAAGTGGTGTGATTGCATATCAGTAGCGTACCATTTGTAGCATTAGTTACATCGACATTCTGAAATACAGGCTGCATGAGGTGAGTTCCAAAATTGGTAACACTTCTCTGTGTTCTTAGTGAGAAATATCATTTTGATGTCAATTCTTGTGCTTTGTATATCTTTTTGACATTTGTCATCAGTGAGAAGAAACCTTTTATACACTCATAGACAATTAGGCTGTTGTCTATAGAATTCTGGAAACTAAAACTATAAGTTTCTGTGAAAATATAAAATTATGTGTTTATTCTGAATGTTTGTCACGATGAAAAGAAATATTCCTAAATATTCATGATTAATTAAACTGTCTGTCTATAGACAAGCCGTAGGAATAATACCATTCTGGTTAATCTGTTCCATACCACGCATGAGATATCACAATGAGAAATTATAATCTTTCTGGTGTGGATTTGCCATAGCAACGAATTCTTTAGTATTAGCACATTGTGTGAATGTAAATTATACGCCACATTATATAGGTCACAAATTATGTAGCAGTATTTTGTGTCGTATCTATGCGGATAATGTTTTGGTATGGATATATGAATTATAGTTAGTATTTAATCAAAGCATGTGAATTAGTTCGTGAAGATTTGAAAGGTTTTTCTTTGTTTTGAAAATATGCACGTAGAACCTGTCTGTGTAGATAAGTTTAGTAAAATTTGCCCATCAAAACTATTAACAACTCTGTAACTTATATGGTCGACGTTATTACTTTCTGATCATGAAATTGCTTTATCAGTGCAGTGTGTTTAATCAATTACAGTTTGATAGCATGGGGCATGTGTAAAACACTTTTTTCACTTCAGTTTCTTAATCCTAAGACAGTCGGTTGGACTACTTGGATGGGGGATCAGTCCATCACAAAGCTGCTACCTAAACAGGACAACACGAACACAAAATTCAGACAGACATATATACCTTGAATGGGATTCGAACCCATGATTCCAGTGTTAGAGCGGGCGAAGATGGCTCATGCCCTAGACCGCGCAGCCACTGTAATCAGCATGCATGAATTACATCACCATTTATATAATAGCAAACATATAAACTTTACTGTTTCTTGTATCATAAATGATTCATTTATAAGCTGTATTTGTATTTCTTGTAATATGGAATGGCTTTCTTTGGAATCAAATGTCCGATCGGTTTCCTGTATTAATATTTTCAGTTTACTTTTGAGTTCAATTAGCCGTTTTCTAGCAGACAAGTGTAAATATTAGTAAAGCATGAATACAAGTTTATAGGAAGAATATTATTCTGGAACATGGCTACTATACGAATTCCTGCAGTTTTCATAAAGCTCTGAACTTATGTGTGCAGTGACAGAGCTACAAGAAAGAATATGTACAAATTTATTGCAGTAAATTTTGTGCAGAAAAAAAAAGAAATGCGGCAGGCGACAGCGAAAATATTTGCATTTACTATTCAATTACATAGCGATTATTGGCAAAGAGTTGGAGCCATGAAATGTGAAATTTGGTATGGTAACAATTTTTGTTGTTGTAATTTTCCATTCTTAGGCATATAATCCCACAATTTGCAAGCGCGAGCATTTGCTCTGTACCGATTTCAAGGAAAATACGCATACCAAGTTCGTGCTAAAACGTTTTAGTGTCTGTACGCTGTTTATTGAGACCAACATCCAACATTTCCGTACATAAATAATTATTACTATAGGATTCCGACGATGGTGTATAACACACTGATGTATTGGGGTTTTGGACTTTATCCATCGTCCTGGTTTTTAAGATAACAAATAAAAACACGACGTTTCGGAAACTGGATCTGTTTCCGTCCTCAGGTGAAGGAAAACACCTATTCTGTTGGGTCCGTTAGAAAGAGCTAGCCTCTATCACTGGATTGATTCGTCCAGTGATTGAGGCTAGCTCTTTCTAACGGACCCAACAGAATAGGTGTTTTCCTTCACCTGAGGACGGAAACAGATCCAGTTTCCGAAACGTCGTGTTTTTATTTGTTATCTTAAAAACCAGGACGATGGATAAAGTCCAAAAACCCAATATATCAGCATAAATAGTTATATATTTATTGACTAGCGTATTGCCTTTTGAAAACTCAACAGACAATCTTCTGTAAACTTTCGTACCTCTATGTCCTTCCTTCTTTTCTCCCGTATTCCTTTGTCATTCCCTTTACTTGTCTGACCTATCTATAGCCCCTTTCCAAATTGAGTTCCATGTACTTTACGTTAAAGACATTTTCTCACCCCAGTTCCTTATTTCCTTTGTTCCGACCGTACCTTTAAGTCCTTTTCTCTTTCCGGATTCATTTCCTACCCCGTTTATTGTTCCGTCTTATCGTCATCCCACTCCTTCTTTCTTCCTACCTCTCCTTTACGTTAAACAGTTTACGTAAATATTGCAGGCCGTTGGACCACTAAATTCATCTGTCGCATCCTAGTAACAGTGCTACAGTCGAGTGTGACAGGAATAGCGTATAGCCTATATAAGCCTCTATTTAAATCATCAAAATTTATTTAATGTCATCTGTCTGAAGGCACATAGTGGAAATGAATGTAAAGGAACTCCGGCAGCCGCCAACACAGCAACTTAAAAAAAAAAATGACATTAAGAGCATTAGTATTATGGTTCATTATACAAGTATCATATCCACTACATGTTTTGATCTAAAATAACAACATAAAGTGGTCTTATTTGTCAGCTTTTGTGCTGGTGGCCACGAAAGTATCTTGAATACACGATACACAACGGGTTGCAAATAATACAGACTGCACGAACACTACTGCGAACTACATACGCACTACACCCATGCCGCTGCAAAACGAATCCAAATACAATGATAATTGGATGAAAGGACGACAGCGCCCAAGCAAGAATATTAAAATTTAATTAGGCTGTATTTGATTACATATTAATGATTTTTAGTGATTTTTAATAGGGTACAATTATTTTTAAATGGGAAATATCACATTCATAGGAGATAGGTGAAGTTACACATATTACACTGTGAAACAGTTTTAACAAATGATGAAGGCCGTATACGGTCGAAACATTTAGTGAAACGGAGAGGGAGATAGTAAACGGGTTGCATTGTGGACGGAAGTATAGTGTGTGAATGAAGAGTATGTTATTGAAACAAAACAAATGAAAAACTCCGTGGCCTGTAGTCCTCAACCGAAATGTACCGACCGATCGGCCGCCGCTTGTCGGCGAAGTTAGTGCCAACTTTTGCGGGTAGAGGGTGTCACGTAGTCAGCGCAACGGACGCCACGGCCTTTAATTTCGGTTTTCTAGACCGGAGCCGCTATTTCCTTGAAATAGCTCCTCAATTATCCTCACGAGGCTGAGTGGACCCCGTTCCAGATCCATTACTTCTCAGAAAATCTGGTAGCGCCGGGAATTGAACTCGGGACCTCTGGAACTGTAGCCAGGCACTTTGACCACAAGACCACAGAGGCGGTCATATTAATGGAACAGGATGCTTAAATACGAAGGTATAGGTTCATGCGTTACGGACCTCGGCACTCGGCTCTACCCTCTGGTTGTTTTACCCTCCAGAAGTAGGGGGCACGCGGTAGAGTAGTTGGTTGGGGCACTATGCTACAAGCCGGAAGGTTGCGGGTTCAAGTCCCGTTGAGGTCATTAGATTTTTTTTCAATTGACCTAATACTTCCAGCCGCACTATGGCCCTGGGGTCGACTCAGCCTATAACAGAAATGAGTACCAGGAATTAATTAAATAATTTTCCTGGGGAGTAAAGCGCGGCCGGGGCATAAGGCTGACAACCTTACCGCCATCTTTGAGCCGATTGTCTAGAACAGCGTTGGCCAACCTAATACATCTCAAGGGCCAAATTTAGTTTATAGAACACCATCAGGGGCCAGATACGGTGTTTCTTTCAGAAGAGTGGTCGGGGAGTATTGCCCCCCAAACTGAATCAGTCACAACCCGTATAAAAACAGTGCATTTAAACCTATGTATTTAAATTTTACGTTGCACCAATAATATTAAGCCGATATTGAAAATTTCACCAATCGATTTTATTGCCTTCTATCACTTCTACCCCCAGAGCATTTTTTCTTAAAGAAACACTGGCCAGATCATGTCTTATGTTTAGTTTTATATATGCCGGGGGAAAATGCAATTATAATTTAAGAAAGAAAAATAAAATGCCTTGAAATGTGCAATTACTTACCATAAAACAGCACAAATTCCTCTTTCAGCAGGGATGAGCACAAAAGACTTTCAATCATAGTTTTTATGGTCTAATGATTATACCTAAATCCTCATATACACACTGTTTTAATGAGAGCACTGTGGTTTCATAAAACTGGAAACCAATGATATAAAATCCACTTCTAATTGTGAGGTTGCCACTCGAAGAATATGTGATAACACGACATCTGAAAGTCTGTTCCTGTTCTTAGACTTTACATGCTTCAGCGATGAAAACGCTGTCTCGCATATGTAAGTACTTGCAAAAACAGAGCAAAGTTTGAGAGCCCAATTTCGTAACAGTGGGTAACGTTCTGGTGAAAGCAGTTTCCAAAAGTCAATTCCAGTAACCTGAGATGTGTTTAAGGATGGGTCACATTGAAGTTCACAAAGCTCTAATTGCAGATGACCTGGCTGAGATTCTATATCACAATGTATAGGATTACTGAATAAAGAAATATCAGGTCGAAAGCTTTCAAAATCGTTAAATCGTCGGTCGAACTCTGAAGACAAATCTTCAATAATTTCAGTGTAGTCCCTAAACTCCAAGCCTTCTTCTTCTTCTGAGAGTTTCCGACAGCAAGGGAAATGTAGAAGGTTATTTTTGTCCAATGCAGACTTAAATAAATGTAGCTTTTTACGGAAACTGTCAACAAAGCCAACCATCTGACATATTGTCTGCTTCTTGCCTTGCAATTGCAGATTCAGGACATTCAAGTGTTGAGTGATATCAGTGAGAAAGGCCAAGTTTCTCAAGAATTCGACGTCTTCGAGATCATTCTGCAGTTCAGCAGAATTCGTAACCTCTTCTCTTAGGAATGTTGCTATTTCATGACGGAGTTCAAAGAACCGTACCAGACATTTCCCACGGCTTAACCATCTTACTTCAGTGTGCAGAAGCAGGTCCCCGTAAGCAGAATCCATTTCTTCCAAGAGGGTCAGAAATTTTCTGTGAGTGAGTGATCGATTTCCTCCTCTGATCAAATTAGTAATTTTTGTGACAGTAGCCATGGTGGTAGACAGTTTAATTGATTTGGCACATAGAGCCTCCTGATGTATAATACAATGCAAGGTAGGTACAGTAATTTGATTCTGTCTTAAAAATCCAACAAAACCGCTTATTGTCCCTGTCATTGATTTAGCGCCATCTGTTACTATGGAGGACAATTTTTCAAAACCACCGAATTCCTCCACTGCACTCTTAACAGCGTTAAAAATATCGACACCTCTAGTTGTGCTGTGTAAAGAGCACACTTTTAACAACTCTTCGAAAATTGTAAAATCTTCCTTAATTGCACGAACAAATATCAGCAACTGATTAGTATCCGAAACATCTGTGCTTTCGTCGAGAGCAATTGAGAAATAGGAACAATTAGCGATAATGTCTTTCACATTATTAGATATCTGGTTGCTAATATCTTCCAGCCTCCTAGTAACAGTCTGTTTTGAAAGGGGCACTGTTTGAAATTTGTTTCCTACCTTATTTTCATTGAAAGCTTCTGCCATCTTTATCGCACAGTTCTTAATTAATTCACCATCACTTAACGCTTTTTTAGCTTTCATTAATTCATATGTCACGAAATAAGAAGCCAGCAAAGCTTCTTCTTGTTGTTTTGTTTCATTGGTAAAAAGAGATTTCTGCTGGAAAAGTTTTTTCTTTAACTGATCGCAGACTACTTTCCTTGATTCACAAGAGTGTTTTCCGAACTTCTGTTTATGATTTGTCATGTAATGCCTCTTTAGGTTGTACTCCTTTAAAACTGCTAGCACTTGAAAACATACTAAACACTGTGGCTTGTGGTCTTTATTTAATATAAAAAAATAGTCATGTTCCCACTCAGATTTGAACGCCCTATTTTCGCTATCAACTTTTCTCAATTTACTATTTGACATGCTGTATCACTCACAATAACTTCAAACACAATTTTAATTTAAAAACAGTTCTACACTCACACTCCGTAATCACACTTCACTTTCTAAAATCGCACTAACTGGGAGACATTTCTGCTAAAACTGGCACTTAACAAAGGCCAGGATGCCGAGAGAAACGGTAAACATCCCATCGCCGCGAGCAAGCTGGGAATGGTTACTATTTTGAAGGTGTCATATATCCTTCACCACTACGGTCTTCCCTTCAGTGTCATCTCCCTACAGAAGTAGGGTTGGGGTACTTTGAATTTCCATGACATGAACACAGTTATTAGAAAACCGTTTGAACTGTCCAACTCAGTAAGAACGTATACAGTCAATTGCAAAATGCTGTAAGCTAATGAAACGTCCTATTAAAAACTGAATTCTATGCCAATACAGCTGTGAAGTTAAGATTTTTGAAAATAAACCTGAGACTTGGCAGGGGGCCGGAGTAAATCAAGTCGCGGGCCGTATCCGGCCCGCGGGCCGCCAGTTGGCTATCGCTGGTCTAGAAAATGTGGGACTCTCGACGTTTCACAACCCTATGGACCTTCACGGCCTGGTACGGGGATAGCTTTACTTTTTTTTTTTATTGGGAATATAAACCCGACCGTCTAAAATTTTGTTCTAATCAGTAAAAGCTCTGAATCCAGTTTTCCTCTTAAAATGGAATTTCGTTCTAATATTACGACCTCTCGAAACAGCATGATTCATTTACACAAACACTGAGTCAGCTGCCTCGGTAACCGCTTAGAAAAGTCGAAGGTCTACCGCCATTTTCTCGAACAGGGAAACTGTCACGAGACACTTTAATCTGTTATTTTACCTGTTCGATAAAGGGCAAAACGCGTTTTAGTAAATTCCTGTTATCTCATTGAACTGCTAATATAGATACTGGGGCAGTGGATTGGACAACCACCATTGTCTGCTTTCGACTTCATTCTAAGACTCAGCTGAAGGCACACGAAGATAGTTCCATAGCTACAGCATATGTTGCATTGTGATATACAGGATGTAACCGAATGATATGGACAAATCTGGGCACGAGTTCCAAATACCAAAACAAGAAAAAGTGTCCATATCAACATGTGTCTGGAAACATTTAATTTGTGAATTATAGCTGAAAGAATGCGAGACGGTGCTCCGGCACATTGTAGCCGTGTTGTGAGAATATTCTCAGTAACAGCTACTGCATGGCCTCCCCGCTCACCGATATAAATCCTCTGGATTGTTACCTGTGGGGATACCTAAAAATGTTTGTGTATGCAGCTCCTGTTGACAAGGAAGGGGACCTCACCATCGCACTGTGGATGCCTGTCAGACTATCCGCAACTGCCCCGGCCTCTCTGAACGGATGCGGCGGTCCAAGATGGGACGTGTCGAGGCGTGCATTGAATCTCATGGCGGACATTTTGAGCACTTATTATGAATGTGCTCTTTCAGATATAAGTCGCAAATTGAATATTTCCGGACACATGCTGATATGGACATTTTTCCCCGTTTCGGTATGTGGAATTCGTGCCGAAAATTTGTCCACACATTTCAGTCACGTACTGTATAATTTACAAGTATTTTTAGAAACATACGACCACATATCAATGTACACTCAGTTCTAGGTTGCGGAATTTACACCGAAGGATCATACGATTTAATGGAAAGGGGTTGAGGGGGGGGTTGTTGGTGAAATTCTAAGAAGTACCATGTTACCTAGGGAACATAAATGTCTTATATTAAGCGGACGTCAACTGCGTACCAGAGACCGCTTTATGGTAATGACCATTTGATTGCCCGGATTACTGCCGTCCTGTTGTTGTTAGTGTAAGGGATAATATGCTCATAACTAACTGACTTCGTGAAGCTGAGTCCTTCTTGAGAAGCCGTCAGTTGTGCAGCTACTCAATAACTTCCCAACATGTTATGGAACCCGAAGGTTCATTACCGCGCTCACAAGAGCCCTCCGCTGGTCCCTATCCTGATCCAGATCAATCCAGTCCATAACACCCCATCCTGCCTCTCTAACAGATATTTTAATATTATCCATCCATCTACATCTTGGTCTTCCTAGTGGTCTCTTTCCTTCTGGTTTTCCTACCAATATTCTATACGAATTCCTATGCTCTGCATTTGTGCTACATTCACCTGCCAATCTCATCCTCCTTGACTTCATCATTCTAATTTAACTCCTTGAAGTCAGACAAATGAGAGGGAGTAGTTTGGAGGGGACGGAAAATTGTTCCATCACGGAGGTTTCCAGGCAGTGCCCCTTGTCCTTCTGGTACAGGTACGTTTGAGGGAGGGTAAAGTTTCGGGAAGTGAAGAAGGTAAATGGTTAGGAAGTGGACTTTATTGTGAGTAGAGAAAATAAATGGAGCAAGGGCTTTACTCTGTATAATTCTATAATTGATATTGACGTTGGAAGTGCTGAATTGGAGTGAAATTTTAATTAGACATCATGGCAAAATTTTTGTGTTACCAATGGGAGGGCTTGCAGGTTCGTCCGAAACGTTGGTACAAGACGTCAAATCCCAGAAGACTGATATTAACATACGCTTTCTGATAGCATGTTCCCCACTCCATATGCTATATCTGAATCGTCATGACGCCCTCTGTTATCAGCTGTAGGCAGACCGAAAACTTGTTCACTCAGTGCTGTATCCCAGGTCTACCTCTGCTTACTGGGGGAAAAAAGCCAATATCTAACTTCCAAATATCTCCTGGAGTTGAGATTCTCATGACAGTGAGCTGCAACATCACTTAGCCTGATAGAAATTTGCCGACGTTTCGGAGGAGCACTCTATCTCCATCTTCAAGTCGCTCCCTTGAAGGCGATATGTTCCTTCGAAACGTCGGTTAACACTATATCTACACGGCGCCACATCCCAGAAGACTGCTTTCATCAAGTAAATATAGGTCCGATCACAGTGGCCGCGCCGTGTATGGCGTGAACTGTCTTCGCTCGCTCGAACACTGGGATCGTGGGTTCGAATCCCACTCAAGTCATGGTTGTCTGCATTTATTCTGTGTATGTGTTGTTCTGTGTGTACTTAGTGGCCTTGCGACGGACTTATCCCCCGTCAAAGGAGTCCTATCGACTATTAAGAAACTGAAGTGAAACAAAAATCTTCCACTTACATCCTATGTTTCAAAATTGGAGTAACAGGAAGGAGAGTCGGAGAGTAATGTATATCCGTTGTCGTCAAACCGTTGATCGATCAGTTCCTTTAGGAGGTGCCAGTGATGTGTGTACACAGGAACGTACCAGACTACACCAACTGTGATTCCGGTATTACAACTGAGCTATCGACGCCGGACACAAATTCCACCATCAATGATGGCAAATCGTATAACTTGGAGATGGACATCCGGTCTGGCTATCACGTGGTCATGTCTCGGAACTCTACTTACGACAATGTAAGTAACCAAAGAATCCTGCAGTCGAGTAGGAACTGACGACGTAGCATGTAGAGGACGTATCGTCAATCCAATTTTATCTGCTTTAGTGACGAGTACATTTAAGGAGCGCACAATCGGACAATGTTTTCAGAACCACCACTACACCAGGCGCCGGCATTATAGCAAAGAAGTATAGTGTCACGTAAACATACAGATCTAAAAAGGGGCTGAAAAGTTGGTTGAGGCATTATGCTACAAGTCGGAAGGTCGCGGGTTCGACCTAATCCTTCCAGCCGCGCTATGGCCATGGGGTGGACTCAGCCTCTAGCAGAAATGAGTACCAGGAATCTTCCTGGGCGTTAAAGGACGGCCGGTGCGTAAGGCTGACAACCTTACCGCCATCTGTGTGTCGATTGTCTAGAAAATGTGGGAGTCTCGACGTCTCACGATTGTATGGGTCTTCACGGCCTGTTACAGGGATAGCTTTACCTTACCTTTTACAGATCTGAAAATCTCATTATTTGGTTTCGAGTTTATCAATCATATTTATCATCTATGAAATTATGACGCAGAGAAAACCTACTGACCAGTAGTAGCATAGGTATATAGGAAAATATTTAAACTTAAGAAGAAGATGGTAAATTTATCCTTATGCATCATTAATTAACCACCGCGCAATGAAAACGTATGGGGCACTGTGAATACAACTCTACCATTCTTAGCCTAGGTGTTACATGGAGCTAAGTGATTAGCTTCACGGCCGGGCCGATTTACCTCTGGGGGAACAGGAAACTGGGTGGGCCCCAGAGCCCTCATTGGTTTTAAGAAGAAGAGAAGAATCTCTTGCTTTGTCGGGAAACGAACCCCGACACCTCGGTCGTTCAGTCCGTTACATTATCGCTGTACGAACTGAGCTCTATCGTCGAAAACAGGAAATTATTCACCGTTAAATGTAAACAGGAAATGAAGTAAGGGAGGTAAAAAAATTGAATGAAAATACGGGAATACGAATTATACAAATTGGATTACTTTAATTAAAATATACAGAAATTTAAGTGAGTTCATTTTAGGACACTATACCTCAACAGCGTGCCGTTGCAAGGGCGCAGGCCAGCTGAAAATTAAAATTCAAGTCAACTAAAAGAAAAGGACATATTTGTCCTTCTGCTTAACTAATTCAGCAATATGCCATAAAGGTGTATGTGGGAGTGGATGTATAGATCCAAGTTTTCTTAACCTCGGCATTAGTTTGAGGTGAGTGGTCAGCTTCACGCCCCGGCCTCTTAACCCCCGGGGAAATAGCCTCCGGTACCCATTGGATAGGAGGTTGGGTGGGCCTCAGAGCCGGTCTGGACGCTGTGAAGAAGAGACAATTCTTGACCCTATCGGATCTCCAACTCCGACCCCTTGGCCGTCCAGCCCGTAGCCAGTCGCTGTATCGACTGAGCTATCCCGGCCCCTATTTAGCCAACTACGTGAATAAATATAAAAATTCTCATTCGTTCCATGTATCAGTGTAACATAATACAAATCATTACAGAACAAGTTAATGATGGTGCCCCTTTTGAGTGTGTGGACTCCCTACAGCTGAAGTAGGCCAATAGAACCAACAGCCCAACAGGGAGGTCCAGTACCAGAAGACTGCCATAGGAGTAATATTCTAAACTCACTTACGGGAGGTTGTTGGTTAGCATTCGGCTGGACACCGCCTACTTTGAGAGTTTCCCTGTGGTTTTACTCAGTCTTTCCAGAAAGAAATACCTCTATAATACCTCGACTATGCCACAACCACTTCCTTCCAGATCCTTTGAATAATTCATCCGTTATTCCATTATCTGACGCTATGCAGTTCAGCTGCTGACTGCCTTGTAGCGCCGCGATGTCTCAGATATACCAACGGCAGAGAAACCGGCACTGTTCCCGGCAGGGGATCACCACGACGTCCAAACACGTGGCCTTGTGTCCAACAGGTACCGGCGTCTTTGTCCCCGGAGCTAAAGCGGCCGGGGCGTGAATCTGTCTACCTAATGCCAAGCTCAGTATTGGTGGAATAACATCTATCCCCCATACGTCTTCATGGTCTGGCACTTAATTAAGCAGGGAGACAACTTGACGTTTGCTGACGTCATGAATAACCCAGGAAAAACATCACTTCTATAATTTTCCACAGCAAAGCATGTTTTGTGTTCACAGCTTGACTACTCCAAGTACTTTTTTCCCAACGAGATGTGGCTACGGAAAGCGGATTGGGAGATTGGCTTGAAGGCGACGGCGTCGCTCGTCATGGTGATCCTGGGAATTGTGGGTAACGCTCTGCTGCTAACGGTCGTATTACGAACCCGTTCTATGCGGACTCCAGCAAACCTGTTGATTGCCAACATGGCTGTCGCAGACCTGGCAACGCTTATAATCCTACCCTGGATATTCATATGCATGGACTGCTTTCAGAACTACATCCTGGGAGAAATTGGCTGCAAAGCGCAAGGATTTCTTGAATGTAAGTACAATCTAAAGTCTTCGAATAAAATACGCACTTATTTAGGTTGAAGGGCCGCTCTAAAGTTACCCTAATATAAGAAGCCTTTGAGAGTTGGTATAGATTAGTCCGTATAGCGAACAGGGATTCAATTCTCGGCAAGAGTACAAGACTTCTCATGCCGGCTATGGGTTCTGCGGGTTGCTTCCGCGGACGTAAGGCGGCAGCGACGTGAAGCTGACCACTCAAGCCGAGGTTAAGAATGTCAGGGCTGTACTTCCATTTCTCCCTACGTCTTTATGGCATCGTCTTATATTCGAATAAACGTAAACAGTTATTAACTCCGAGTTTGTGTGCGTTATGCGCGAGGGCTTCTTGAATTCGAGTAAACATTGACAGCTGTGCTTTGTATCAAGGACACCTTATAAGTTTAAAAGTGAAAATATCCCTATGAGTAATTAAGCACCGCACCATGAAGTCGTGTGGGGAGTGGACGTATAGCTCCGTCGTTCTTAACCTCGACACCAGATGGAAGTGAGTGATCAGCTCCACTCTCTGACCGCTTTATCTCCGAGAAAAGAACCGCTGGTACCATCAGATAGGGGTGTGGATGGCGCCAGAAGTGGTCTGGATGCTGTGATGAGAAGAACCTCTTGCCTCTACAGGGAACTGATCCTCAGTTCCTCTGTAGCATGTAAGTTCTTACGTAACATCTAAATGGGCCCAGCATTATACTGCCGCGTATTCGGCAGCTCCGGTTTCAAAACCTGACCTAAGTTTCTCCTTGTTTTCTCAGTCCTTCCGGATAAATTCCGAGATCCTGCATAAAATTACGTCATGGCTGCTTTTCTCAACATTCTTTCCGCGGACAGCTCAGTCGGTATAGTGACGGGCCGCGGGCCGAACGGCCGGGATTCGATTCCCGGCAGAGGCAGGAGATTTCTCTCTTCTCCACATCATCCAGACCGAATCTTGAGCTCACCAAACGTCCTATGCAATGGGTACCAGGGGTTTTTTCTTTGGGATTAAAACAGCCGTGGCGTGAAGCTACATCTCACTTGCATCTAGTTCCGAGGTCAAGATTGGTGGAACTGGAACTCAAGTCTCCATACGTCTTCATGGCATGGTATTTAATTAATTTAGCACAGGCATAAATTTGCCTTACCTTACCTTTCCAGTTCGGAGTCGGGATAGCTCAGTCGATATACTGACGGGCTTAGGGCTGGACGGCTCGGGTTCCAGTCCCAGCATTGAGAGATTTCTCTTTTCTCCACAGCGTTCAGACTGACTCTGAGGCCCACCCAGCCTCCTATCCAGCGGGTAAAAGTAAAGCTATCCCTGTAACAGGCCGTGGAGGCTCATAGGGTTGTGAGACGTCGAGGCTCCCACATTTTGTAGATAACCGGCTCACAGATGACGGTGAGGTTGTCAGCCATACACGCCGGCCGCCCTTATCGCCAGGAAGATTCCTATCCAATGGGTATAGGGGCTAAAGCGGCCGGGGCCTGAAACTAACCACTCACCTCCATCTAGTGCCGAGGTCAAGAATGACAGAACTATACCTCCACTCCCTCATACGTCTTCATGGCAAATGCTTAATTAATTAAGCACAGGGACATGGTTACCTTTCGATCATTAATCTGCTAATGATTCGACGTTGTTGTGAGCTACTGTAAGCTTCGCTGTTTGAACGAAGGCCCTGGCTGTCACTTGAGCTTTATATTCAATAATAATAATAATAATAATAATAATAATAATAATAATAATAATGGTAATCAGAGGCGTAATGTGTTTAGGTTCTCTTCTGTTCACTGGAGTTCTCAATCTGGTGGCCGTGAGCTACGACAGACTGACGGCAATAGTGATGCCACTGGAGGCCCGGTTAACAGTTCGTGGGGCCCACATCCTGATGGCATCCACCTGGGTAACGGGCGTAATCCTCGGACTGCCCCTCATCTTCTTCAGAATGTACAGGGTTAGGGTCAGAACAAGAAGTGCTGGGAAGAATGCATGGCACCTGTTTTCCTCCCAGCATAACCTTCACCATAAGGTGTTCTGTGTTCTCTTAATAGTTGCAACTGCATACTTCTTACGGCTAAAGATAATATACCTAATTGGCTGACTATTCAAATAACTGACTGACTGACTGACTGACTCCGTCGTTAGTTGTAAACCTGCACATAGACTTAAATGAGACTTCCTTTACTTTTCTGTTATGAATGAAATTGCTATTAGAGTCGCCAAATCAAGGAGAATGAGATTTGAAAGGCATGTAGCATGCATAGGAATGAAGAGAAGCTCACACAAAAATTTTTGCTGCAAAACCAGAAGGAAAGAGGCCATTACGAAAACCTTGATGTAGATGACAGGATGCCAGTGATATTTCTTAATATCAAATAAACGAAGAAGATGGCTCAAATGGTAACGCTTCGGAATTATGTTCGGTAAGTGACCGGTTTGAATCCTGGTCGAGACACTGGCTATCATGTCTGAGGGTTTTCATGGTATTACTCAGCCCCTCCAGATAATTGCCAGGAGAGTATCTGAAATTAAGACATAACCGCTCTCCTTCCAGATCCTTTCAAATTCAGTATTCATTTATCATCCTACCATTCGACGCTATGCCTGTAATGTTACGCAAAAGGGGGTTAAGTCACTAAGGACCACTCTTCAGGGTTCATACAGTAACGCACTGGACGGAAGGTACTGCGCTCGGACACGTTAGGACACGTGGCATGGTTTTTATTTGGCCCTTTTAATGCGGGCAATTTTATTATGCACTTACGTCATTTGACCAAATTTTACTTATGTTTCTCTCCATAACCTCAATAGAAGCAAACTCCTCCTATACAAAGCAGTACTCAAACCCACATAAGCTTATGGCATTCAGCTATGGGGGACAGCCTCCAGTTCCTACATCGAAATCCTCCAGCGCTTTCAATCCAAGGCACTCCGATCCGTTCTGAACCCACCTCGGTACATAAACAGCCACAGGATCCATGCAGATCTACAAATGAACACAGTGCTCAGTGAAATAATAACTGCAGCCCCAGTGGGCCTAGGTCTACCTCCATGAACTTCTCCGTTCACTTCGGTTTTTCTCGATCTTACACATACGGTAGGACTCCTTGGGCGGGTGATCAGCTCGCCGCAAGGCCTCTACCTGTACACAAACACAGAAAAACGCACACACATAAACTAAACATCCATGTCCTGAGTGGGATTCGAACTCACGATCCCGGTTTCCAAACGATTGAAGACTGTACATGCCTTAGACCGCTCGGCTACCGTGACCGGCGGAATAAGAAATACTTAAAAAAATTAGAAAACCACACCAATGCACTAGCAGAGAACCTACCGGACAACCGTGATACTACACACAGACTGAAAAGATACACCGTCCAAACTCCACCAGACAGCCCTGAGTAGGACACAAATAAAAGCATCAAAATGATATCTAAGTGAACAAAAAAAAAACATGTGAGTTACGCCCCTGGACACAACTCATTCTCGAGCCAGTACTTATTGAACATACGTTTATTGGAAAGCCTGCAGATTGTGTGTAATAAACGTGTGAATAAAAATAGCACCGGAGATACACGTAGGATTTGAGGTTATGAAGATTGGGATATAACATCGTGTTGTCCGTTAAAGTAAACCAACCTTTCGGAGGAATATATCGCCTCCATCTTCAGGGTCGAAGAATAAGCCTGCTTCATACTGGTTTCTTGCTTGTCTTATTGTTCAACACTAAAAATGAGTGCGGCATGTTCCTCTGAAACGTCAGTTTCTTTTTCATATGAGAAGATAGAATTAATTACAGACATATTTCGAGTTATTGGCAGTTTTGTTAAATAAACAACAAACATATATGTATATATAATTTTTGTAGGAGCGGAAATGGAAGAATTTCTACGAGACTTACTGCACAGAAGAAACTAAGGTAATGCCCATTTACTGGTACGTCGTCATCGTCTTCGTGGTCTGGCTGCCTCTCGTCATCATGGTCCTCTGCTATTCCGCTCTCTTCTTCAAGGCAAGTTCTCCTGGTAATTCTTACGAAACTGTCTCCATAATTCCACTTTCTCAAAGACATACTTAGGTACTGACTCATGGAGCTGAGCCCTTCTTGAGGAGCCGCCAATTCTGCAGCTACTCAAGAACTTCCCAGCATTTTATGGAACCCAGAGGCTCATTATCGTGTTCTCAAGAACCCTCCACTGGTCCCTATGCTGAGCCAAATCAATCCAATCCACACCATCCCGTCCAGTCTCTCTAAGATCGATTTTAATAGTGTCCACCCACCTACGCCTTGGTCTTCCCAGTGGTTTCTTTCCTTATGGCTTTCCCACCAATATCCTATGTGCACTCCTCGTCTCCCCCTTTCGTGCTACATGCCCTGCCCTCGCTTCTCATAGATATAGTTCGTGGAAAATATTGTGATCGTTAGAATTCAATCTTTGGGATTCTGACAGATTTACATGTTTTTTGCTCTCCGGAATTCGAAATAATCGTTTTATTTTTGGAATGCCGCCTGTCTCTACATACGGGCCTCGCTGTCACCTGAACGGTTACACGAACTGAGAGCGACAATACCATAACTGCAAAATTATGGGCTCTTCCCCCCCCCCCCGCAAACACTGGTAAGAAAGGGTTGAAGCCGATACAGTGGCCGCGCCATCTAAAGCATGAACCGTTTTCGGCCACTGGAACCCTGGGATCGTGGGTTCGAATCCCGCTCGAGGCATGGTTGTCTGTACGCGTTTATTCTTTGTTTATGTTGTTCTGTGTGTAGTTAGCGACGGGCTGATCCCCTGTCCAAGGAGTTCTACCGACTGTGTATGGTACTGGGAAACTGAAGCGACGACCAAAGTCCGAAAATCTGTAGAGCCATGAAAGGGAGGAAATAAACGTCTCAAATAATTTTGATTAAATATAAGCAATTTCTGGAGACCATCACCTCAAACCAAACGCATATGTGGTATATTTTGGAAAATAAAGGTCTGTCTTCGTTCGATATTGGTTACAATTTGATTATCCGTAGAGACACTGAACCCAGGTAATGCCTCAAAATATCATTAAATTAAAGGGATTCGAACAACGGACCCCGGCCGGGTCTAGTATTGTCATCTGCAAGTGCTGAGCTTGTGAGCTCTCTCCGTTTTTACACATCAAGCCATCTTCTTCTTTGTCTTCCTGGATCGCGTCTTTCTTAAATACAAAATACACGTATATTTCTTTCTCAGAAATCTCTCTGACGATATTTGTTAAATTTCGCCAGTTTTAAAGTTTACTGTTATCAAGGTCTAAAATATCTTTCATGATTAAGATAAATATTTTTTAAATTATTTATTTTAAGGTAGAAACTTTAATTGACGCAAGTAAGGAGTTTGGTCTAGAAGTAAACACAGAGAAAACTAAGTCTATGTTACTGTCTCGTCACAAGAATGTAGGGCGAAATCATGACATGAATATACTATTTAACAGATCCGTTCAAAATTTGGCAGAGTTATAATATTTGGGAACGACAGTAACAAATCAAGTTTCGTTTCAGGTTGAAATTAAGTTGAGACTTAACTCGGGTAATGCTTGCTACCATTCAGTCCAGAACCTTTTGTCTTCTCGTCTGCTGTCTAAAAACGCAAAAATTAGAATATATCCTGTGGTTCTGTATGGGTGGGAAACTTGGTCTCTGGCATTAAGGGAGGAACATAGACTGAGGGTGTTTGGAAACGGTGTCCTAAGGAGAATATTTGGACCGAAAAAGAGATGAAGTGACGGGAAGTTGGAGAAAACTGTTTAATGGGGAGCTTCATAACTTGTACTCTTCTCCAAGTATAATTGGAATGATCAAGTCAAGGAGGATGAGATAAGCAGGGCATGTGGCATGAATGAAGGAGGAGAGGAATGCATATAGGATATTGGTGGGAATTCCAGAAGAAAGGAGACCACTATGGAGACCAAGAAGTATGTGGGTGGATAATATTAAAATGGATGTAAGGGAGACAGGATGGGGTGTTATGGACTAGATTGATCTGATTCAGGATAGGGACCAGTGGAGGACTCTTTTGAATACGATAATGAACCCTCTGGTTCCATAAAATATTGGGAAATTCTAGAGTAGTTGCGTGACTGGCAGCTTCTTAAGGACTCAACTCCATGGAGTTAGTAAAGGGTCATGATTCGTCGCGCGTGTATGAGGAAATATGTATAATATTTTCCAAATTTTTTTAATATGTAAGGAAGTTTTTAAAATTTAAGACTTCTGAAGGAACTGATTAGCTTAGCGGTAGCGCTTTAGGATTTTATTCCGGAGGTGCTCGGTTCGAATTCCGACTGAGACTCCGTCTGTCCTGACCAATATTTTTCATGGATTTCCTCGACTAGGCCCCACACCTCCAGAATACAAGTCATGTGCTCGTTTCCACAGCTGGGTCAGTACGAGAGAAGGGTCTTGCGGCGTGAACACCCGATTAATGTGAGCTACAAGACCAAGGTGTTTCGCACCTTGTTCGTGGTGGTGTTGGTGTTTGTGGTGTGCCGCGTACCCTTCACGGCCCTCATCTTCTTGCGTGCCGACCTGCAAGGGGGCACACAAACCATGAACCAGGTAAGTATTAACTTTTCTTTAAATTATGAACTAGACAAATTGTTTAGAAATACTGACAGGTCAGGGCTAACATTTTCGTTGCAATGAAAGAAATAATTTTCTCAGAAACATTGCCTTGTCAGTCTCCCCAAAATACTGAGCAATTCTTCTGTTCATATTTTTACATCAGCGGAAGTAAATAACCCTGTTATAGGTATATGGTGTTTGAGCAAGAGTAATTACAGACTGCCAGGGAGCTATATGTACTTGAGTAAGGAATGAGATTATAACTTGAACTCAGCATGGACAGGGTTAAATATTGACTGATATAGTGGCTGGACTCATCTACCAAAATAAAACTCGTTTGAGGCTTAAATTACTCACGGCAATCAATATTAGGCCTAAGATTACTGTGTTTTAAAGTATGACAACATTTATTCTGGTAGATGAGTAAAATAAAAGAAACTAAAATTATACCTTTGATTAAGTAATTAAGCATTACGCCATGGAGACGGATGGTGTAATATATATATGTAAAAAGTAAAGTTATCCTTGTAAGAGGCCATGGAGGATCATAGGGTTGTGAGATGTTGAGGTTCCCACATTTTCTAGACAATCGGCTCATAGATGATGGTAATGTTGTCAGTCTTACGCATCGGCCGTCCTTTACCCCCAAGAATATTCCAAGAATATTCCTGATACTCATTTGTGTTAGAGGCTGAGTCGACCCCAGGGCCATAATACGGCTGGAAAGATTATGTCAATTGAAAAAAACTCAACGACCTCATCGGGAATTGAACCCGCTACCCCCCAGCTTGTAGCATAGTGACTCAACCAACTACGCTACCTATATATGTGTATATGTATAAATCTGCATATTCTTAACCTCGGTAATAGGTGCAAGTAAGTGGTCAGCTGCAAGCCCTTCCCAGGAAATATATGTACTTGGTACTCTTTGGCTAGGAGGCTGAGCTGGCCCCAGAGCCAGTCTGGACGAAGCGGAGAAGAGAACTTGTAGCACAGTGGCTTAGCCAACTGCACTACGGTGTGCCCTCGATGTCCTTTTGTTGAATTTTTGATAGTAACAATAGAATTATTGCTTATTAGGGGTTAAAATGTTGGAAAACTGGTCTGAACCTCAAGCTGTAGGAACGTAGCCCTGTACGTGCTAAATTAAAATGAACCCGAATACGGGGTTCACCTGTTTCCGTCCTCAGGTTTGGAGTCCCTTAGAAACAGCTAACTTCGATGACTGGACAACCACTGTCAGATTCACACAGCTTTTTAATCACCTGACACCAGGCTAATTCGGCGGGTTACAACAAGAAAATACTTGGGTGATTAAATAGCTGTGTGAAGCTGACAGTGGTTGTCCAGTGATTGAGGTTAGCTCTTTCTAAGGGATCCGACAGACTAGGTGTCTCGCTCTCATCTGAGGACGGAAACAGATCCAATTTCTGAAACGTCGTCTTTTCTAATCTCTAGAACACCGGACGATGCAAAAAGCCCCCAAATCCAGTAATTCTGAGTGTTGTACACCACTGTCAGAACTCTTCAGAATCTATCAGTAAGTGTGTTTGATGTCGAAGGTAACTGGTAACCCAGGGGGATGATATATAGCATATTTGGTTGCAGGTTGTTGATGGCTACAGCACCCTGAGGTTCGTCTGCCATTATCTGATCACAGTGAATGCCGCAGTGAATCCCATTATCTACGGCCTTACCAATGAAAACTTCCGGCGTGCTTTCCGAACAACGATGCTTGCCCGAAGGCTGTTCGGGGCAGCCACTACTGTGACCGTTCCACGAGCACCCCTTTCGCCAATCCGCAAGCTTGAACCTAGGAACCTTTGTGACAAAGCTGACTACAAAAAGCAGTGGTTCAGCCAACCGAAATAAATTAAGGGAAGGATATGGAGCCTCAATTGCTACAACAAATTCTTCAGGAGTTTCGTTCTATTTTCGGTGTTTCCGAATATACCTTCCTTTGTCAAAAAAAAAAAAAAACATTGATAGTATGTAACTTTAAACAAGCGAAGTTCCATGCCTTCAACGAGATGTCCTTTGTGACGGATTTGGTTCCCATCAGGTATTCAAAATAGTATCTAGTAATCTGCCAATCTTCATTCCACCAATTGCTCCACAATCACCCTCACCTATCATCTCGGGCTGGTACAATAGGCCAGAAGTGGCCGCAGTACAAGGGACTTAGTCCCACCCCACTAGCAATAGAAAATAATAGTAAAAAGTCAGCGTCGATAACTAAGGCAATAAAGTAGATGGAGGCACGCAGTAGCGTAGTTCGTTGAGGCATTATGCTCTAAGTCGGAAGGTCACGGGTTCGATTTTTCATTTTACCTAACACTTCCAGGTGCACTATTGCCTTGAATTCGACGCAGAAATGAGTATCAGACAAGTAAGGGTGACAACCTCACCGCCATCTGTGAACCGATTGTCTAGAGAATGTGGGAGCCTCGACGTCTCACAACCCTATGGGCCTCCATGGCTTGCTACAGGGATAGCTTTACCTACAGTAGATAGGATGAGTCCGAATGTTGAATTGGAAAGGACGTGAAATAAAGAAATTGTGGGCCTTTTAAGGTATTATCTTAATTGTTGCGTGGAAACAGGAGAGCCATGAGAAGAGAACAGTCCGGTATGATATTCAAATTAGGGACTTCAGAATAGTAACCCAGTCATGGCGTTAGGCGGTATAAATCACAATGAACAAGTAGTTATGTTGTCCACTTTATTGTATTCGGACTATACCATCTTCATTCTTTCGGAGTTTGAAACATTGGTGAAAGAGTGACCAAAGTAATTCAGTTTGTCAGTCGAATTCAAGCTCCTTAGATAAGTTGGCAAGTTTGTCTTCAAGAAGTTGAGCCATGTCAGCTTCTGTTCTCAAGATTTCTGTAGCCTGCTGTAGTAACGTCATGGCTTCTCCCATAATGACCTGCGAGTAAAAGATCCAGTCACTTGCAATGTAATAAAACATATAAGGTTTTCTATATACAGCGTGAACTTATCGAATCTCACGCCATATTCAGTTTCTTCACATGGCACTTCACAGTGGAGCCATCTATCTAGAGCTGCCAAAACCAACTGTGGAGCAAATATAGAATTCCATACTACGAAACGGTATGTCATGAAACTGGGTAGATTTACTGTATGAATTCCGGGCGATCAGCATAGTAACCAATGGCTGAATTTTGTATACACTCTAATGAACCTTCGGGTTATATTGGAAATGGGAAATTTCTTGGCTAGTTGAGAGACTGTTAGCTTCTATACACGGTATAAAAGTTTGTGATGATTTTATATTAATAAAATTATTGTGTTTCTGGACATTGTCCATCGTCCTGTGTTTATTTAAAACCCATAATGTTTCGAAGACTGGAATCTATCTCCGTCTTCAGGTGAAATCTCCGCAGTTTGGCCCAATCGATAGAGCTAGTCCCTATCTCCGGAGATCCAGAAACATAATAATTCTATACAGGGACTAGTTTTTCATAGAGTTAGTTAATTATTAGCCGGTCACGGTAGCCGAGCGGTCTAAGGCATGCACTGTCTTCGCTCGCTCGGAAGACGGGATCGTGGGTTCGAATCCCACTCAATGCATGGATGTTTGTGTGCGTTTTTCTGTGTTTGTGTACAGGTAGAGGCCTCGCGACGAGCTGATCAATCGCCCAAGGAGTCCTACCGTATGTTTAAGATTTAGAAAAACCGAAGTGAACGGAGTTCATGGAGGTAGGCCTAGGCTCACTGGGGCTGTAGTGCCAAGGAAAGAAAGAAGTTAATTATTTACGGTCCACTCCCTCCACGAAATTTCCAGCTCACAATTCATAATTATTCTACGCCATGTGACCTATGCAGCAGATGAAACCTCGTCAAGTAAACCGCGAAACACATGAGAGATTATTATATCGTATCATGATTAATATATTCTTTCCGATAACCCCTCTCTATCGAGATGAACTACTTCGTCGTGAAAGATTTCTCTCTATGGACTGATAGCCACTCAATCTGTACCATTAAGAGAACGCGCAAGGTTCATTATTTTCTTCAGAAGACTGTGTCACTGATCCTGTTAAGTGCAGTCCACGCTCTCATATTCCATTTGTTTAATATTTTTCTTCATTCTCCGACTACATATCTCAAGTGGTATTTTCCCTTCAAGGTTTTCCGACTAAAATTTTGCAAGCATCTCTTATGACCGACTTGAACGTCACATGCACTACCTAATTTAACCTCCTCGCTTCTACCACTCTTATAATATTTGAACATAAACGGTTTTGAAGCTAGGATCTACTCATTACACGATTTTCGCCGATGTGCTCTTACTTTCTCTCGCTTATATCCAAATGTTCTCCTCAGCATTGCGTTTTCAAACCTGTATTCAAACAGGAACAGTTAAAGGAAACACAGCACGATAGGTTCTCGCCCGTACTTCTCGAATAATGAACCGAAATAGGCCAGTCGGTATAGCAGGCTTTGGTATTAGCGCTGCTGAACCTTCGGGTTCTGCTACCAGAAAGTTTTTTTTTATCTCCATATATTTGTACAATCAGTCCATTATGGGCTATAAGTACATCTTATGTGAGACTTAATCTAAAGCTTAAATACTAAGTGAGAACATGTCGGGGAGAGTAATGCTCCAGTGAGCATTCTCTAGGAATCTATCGAGTGTGACTTTGTTATTTTGTGTATTGCATTTATATGAAGCGCGTCGTTAGGTCGTTTGTTTTATGCCTTTTCAGTCTTCTGGGCTCGTCTGCATCGTTTAGTAGTCTGGTTGCCAGTTCACCAGAGAGTTAGTTAATTAGTAAGATGGCTCTTAGGGAAACAGGCTGTGAGGGTGGGAGGTGGATGGAACTGGGACAGGATCGTGTCCAGTGGCAGGCTTTGGTATTAGCGGTGTTGAACCCTCTGGTTCTGCTACCAGAGTTAGTTAATTAGTAAGATGGATCTTAGGGAAACCGGTTGTGAGGGTGGGAGGTGGATGGAAATGACTGAGGATTGTGTCCAGTGGCGGGCTTTGGTATTAGCGCTGCTGAACCTTCGGGTTCTGCTACCAGAGTCAGTTAATTAGTAAGATGAATCTTAGGGAAACAGGTTGTAAGGGTGGGAGGTGGATGGAACCGGCTCAGGATCATGTCCAATGGCAGGCTTTTGTATTTTGTAGCTTTGCTGAACCTTTGGGTTTCCATCCAGATTGCTCGATAGTTCTATTTTGGCTTAGGGAATACACGTGGACTAGGAAATTTTCCCTGGCAACTATTACTGTTGATTCAGTGATGTAACATAGGCTAACACAAACATTTACAGTAAGTTACCTGTGCGGCAGCCTTCGTGATTTTGTCACTGGCCAGGGTGCGTTTCGCTTGCACAGCCATGGCCGCCTGCAAGTCATACAACAAGAGGCCACGCAGTCTTGTGGCCCCGGGCTCCAAGATGTCGGCTATTTCAAGGAGCTCCGTACACAAATTGATCTTCCTTTCCAGGAGAGTGTCCGGCAGCTCTGTAAATGGGAACGCAATTGTTTCAGTAAGATGTTGCTGATATTTATGCATGTATTACCTTCCCACTCACCTCTAGATCTCCCCAGTGTTCTCTTCTCTTCATTAGTTCTCATAACAATTAATATGTATTGTAGCGTATAGAGCCGTTACTGGGTAACGACCTAGAAACAAACAACGAAACAACATCCACTGCTAGGTAACAGATTGTCGTGCCATAGCTCAGGAGGTTAGTTGCCGGCTTTCCACAGGCTCAGCCAAGGTCAGGATATGTGGGATTTGTGGTGGACAAAGTGGCACTGGGGTCTGGTTTTCTCAGCGTACTTCGGATTCCCTTGCCAATTCTCATTCCACCGACTGCTCCGCATTCATCATCACGCGTTATTATCCGGTGCTGGTACAATAGGCCAATTAGTGGCCGACGTACAAAGTGGACTCAGTCTTACCCCACTCAAGGAAACTAAAAGATAACTAGGTAACAGGTTCTTAATAAGCAAGTTTTCGCGGCCGTTGCTGAGTAACGCCTTTCCAAAAAAGCAGGTTCCCACTGCAGCGAGTCAAGATCAACAATAGAAGAACTGTTGGAAAGGATGTTTTCTACGCGGTCCGTGCTAAGGGGTTATCAATAGGTCACATTGTTCCTGGGGATATAAATACGGGGACCTGGCTCTCCAGGTTGGGAGAGTCTCGAATCTGAGACAGTAAAATGTGGACATGAGTCCCTCAGCACTCGGGCCTGAAAATGACTGCGCTGGCGAGGACCAGTAGCAGTTGTAAACGACAGACCCATCCTCTCGTCATAAAGAATGTTACATAAGGACTATGGAAACAAGTGTTCAGTTGAACAAATTGCTGGTCGTTAATCTCAAGCGGCTTGGCGCCAGGGTTGAAGTAACTCTGACTCTGACTCTGACTCTGACTCTCAGCTGTCAGTTGGAAGGGAGTCTGTGAAGAGAAGACTTGGTCGATGCAGTCGAAGAATCTCCATTGTTAAGATCCGTTACCGGGAAACTACAACTCAAAGCAGACTGAAAACGCTTAGCTTGTGCTGTAGTGGTTTGTAAAGTGTTAAAGTGTTAACGATAGTGTTACTGTCATTTACAGTTACGCCCTGTAAGTGGTCAATAAATCCAATCTCCGATCCAAAACCCCGTCGAGATTCACTGATACACGTGAAAATATGTACTTCTCATCCAATTTTTCTTCTTTTGAACACGTTCCTGAACCACTTCCCATCTTCAAAACCTGTTTTCCTAATAGCCTTGCGTTCTAAATGTTATGACCATCTCGCCTTTAATTCAATTGCCTTAATTTCTTGTGAACACGGTAATGAACCTTCGGGTTCCATAAAATGTTTGGAAATTCTTGAGTAGCTGCACAACTGGCAGCTTTTCAAGAAGGGTTCAACACCATAGCGTTAGTTAACGCTGTCTGGTAAAGAGAATAAAGTCGGATTAATCCGTAACGCATCTGACTTAGATACACAGTTCGGTCTTCTGGATTACGTCACTCTGCAGTGGTTACTAACGCTTTGAAGAAACGCGCTACATTCATCCTCTGACCTACGGCCCTAGTTCCTCCGTAACATTGCTAACCACCTACCAGACAACAACATGTCTTCTCATTGTATCCAGAATTCTGAGGCAGCGTGTTCCTCTGACACGCCGGTACCAACCTGAGCAGGCCACGCGTTATCATAACCTAGATCGCGGTATGGATTACGAAACTTTGAATACCTTCCTCTCCCATTACAGACCGCAACCATGCAGTGGCTGAAGATGCAGAGAGAGGGAGGGTGACGTACTATAACTAAGGATCCTGACCAACCCATACACCCTAAAACCCTTATCTCAGTGGACTCTCCACTGGGGCCACACGAGCGCACAAAATGCTTCCGTTGTAACGAACGTCGTTACGTCCGTTGTAGAAATGAACAAGAGAGGCGAATGCTACGCTTTCTTCTGGCTCCATTACAGACAAAAACTACGCACCGCATTCTGCAACTGTGTAGTGTCCTCAGCAACGTCCGTTGCAACGGACGTACTTCGTGCTCTCTTGTGGCCCCAGCCTAAGAAATCCACTTCGCATTCTGTTGAGAAAGAACAAGTGTTAAAAACAGTGAGGGTACTTACCTGAGAGTAAGAACCCTTGCATATTCCCATACAGCTGGGACAGGGCGTATTTAACCTCCAGCATATGCCAGTTACTGGGGTGCAATGCGTCTTTATACTTATCCAAGAAACCCTCCAATGCCTGAGGTTTACTTTTTTCCAAAGCTGCAATTTCCTGACGAATAGCGTCGTTTCCCCAGGCAATTTGTCGTCCAAGGATCGTATGCGGGCAGACCTGACACTTCCAAGGCGAGGAGGATTCTAGAGGGTTCGTTGATATGATCATACTGCTCTTCTTTCCACCAGATTTCTTACACTGGGAACAATTTATAGATCCTAAATAAGTTCCAAGCTCAGTTTCATCAGAGCATCTTTCACAGTTGCAATCGAAACACTTCGACTGCTTAAGATGTTCCCTCCTCGCTAAAGTTCCCCAAAGAGTTTGTGTATAAGTAACACAAATTATTTCTCCTTTCTTTATCGGTACTGTAGACACTAATTCTAATGTATAATTTGGTCCAGTGAATACGTGTTTAGTGTTTGGTTTACAATCATGTGATAACATTGCAGCTTTAGGGTACAAACCCCTAATCTTTATATCACCATCAGAACGCCGAATCTCAAAACTGTTTGTGTCCAAAATAGCTGCGACTTTCAATATCGTCTCTTCGCTGAATTCTGTCATGCCAAGAGCATTTCTAAGGAAACCGACAATGTTATTCTTAAATATGTTGTAAAGGGTAGTGTTTCTTCTTTCCTCTAAATGAGACTGCAATTTTAAAATTGCCTCGTATTTTTGTGGATCTCGCTTTTGTAGCAGAAGGCACCTGAGTGGAGTAATGCTACAGTATGCTGCTTCCTTTTTATCTTCTGCTTGTATACTGGCGCGGAAACCCCTTTCCTTCATCAGGCTACATTCAGGCACATGGAGAGGGGACATTTCACAGTGAGCCCCACACAGAGGCCATCCGCAGCTCCTGCATTTATACGTTTCGGTGCCGTCAGGTACCCTGAGCCGGCGTCCGCAACCTAAACACAGAGGAAGGGACACTACTTTGGGACCCAGCACGGTGGGGTCTTCCTTCATGATTGTTTCCCCCTGCCGGATGTCCCTTGTTGCCACGACGTGGTAACCCAGTTGTGCAGAAACGCTGAGTTTGTAGGGCGCGCACCGAGTCTTGTGGAACTTCCAGTGCTGCCTCTGGTGGTTACGACTGCAGTAGAAAACTGAATGACAGCCAGAGCAACACTGCGTTGCTCCAGCCTGGCACACGGCGCACGGTCCTGTCATGGTATGAAGGTCCTCTGTAACAAAAGTAAAAAGAGGGTGAAACTATCCCTGTAACAGGCCGTGAAGGTCCATAGGGTTGTGAGACGTCAGGGCTCCCATATTTTCTAAACAATCTGTTCACAGATGACGGTAAGGTTGTCAGCCTTACACGCCGGCCGTCCTTTACCCTCCTGGAAGATTCCTGGTACTCAATTCTGTTAGAGGCTGAGTCGATCCCAGGGGCATAGTGCGGCTGGAAGGTTTAGGACAATTAAAAAAATCCAGTAACCTCATCGGGAATCGAAACCCGCTACATTCCGGCTTTTGGAATAGTCCCTCAACCAGCTACGATACCGCGTGCCCTCCCCCCGCCCCCCCCGCAACAAAACAAACACAAATAATTTGGTAGGGATTATTGGGTTTTTAGGCTCTGTCCATCGTCCAATATTCTAAAGAACACAGCGTTTCGAAAACTGGGTCTGTTTCAGTCTTCAAGTTGGAGGTTGGGAGACATTTATTCTATTAGGTCCGTTAGAAAGAGGTATCCTCAATCACTGGACCTTTCATGCAGTTTCCGAAACGCTGTGTTTGTTAAAATGCCGGACGGTGGACAAATTGCGAAAACCAGTATTTCTGAGTGCTATACACAGTATAAACATCGTCAGAGCCGTTAAGAATCTACTTAGAAATGATTTAGACACACAAATTTAATAATGCAAGAGTACGCGGAAATGAACAACTATTCAAACAACTCTCGTAACAGATAAGAGAGAAACACCGATATGGGAGGAGTGCGCAACACACACGTGGCAGCGGTGGTCAAGTGAACGCTGAAGAAGACTGGCATGCTGAACTGAGTTAGACACTTTACACATGGAGAAATTGTCGTGATAAACATGTATGGTAAACTGCAAGAAATAATACTGAGAAATGATTTCGTAACTATTTGAAGTATAAATAAATTATACAGTTCTATCAAAGCAAAGGAAGAAACGCCCATGAAACAGGCAGCAAGGAGGTCCTTCTTCCTACCTGCTTCATGCTGGTTTCTTGCTTGATTTTTTCTTTGTCCCTGAAGATGGAGATGACTTATTCCTCCGAAACGTCGGCTGGTTTTCAACGTACTACACAGCGTTATATCCCAGAAGATAGAACTCTTCATACTCATAACCACTCCTAATGGAACCTCATATCCTATATAATTATAATTATTATAGTGTTCAAACAATTAGTTTAACAACGAACCTTTATTAAGATTATTTCTTGCAGGTGGCCTTTTGCAGTCTTCACAATCAAGATTGTATCTTAGCTTCTGTACCTACTTACTTACTCATGGAGCCGAGCCCTTCTGGAGTAGCCGCCAATTCTGCAGCTACTCAAGAATTTCGCAGGATTTTATGGAACCCGAAGGTTCATTACCGTGTTCACAAGAGCCCTCCACTGGCCCCTATCATGAGCCAGCTTAATCCAATCCATCCCATCCTATCTCTCTAAGATCCATATTAATATTGTTCACCGTCTTACGCCTTAGTCTTCCCAGTGGTCTCTTTCCTTCTGGCTTCCCAATATCCTATATGCATTCCTCGTCTCCCCCATTCGTGCTACATGTCCTGCTTCATGCACAGCTTCTGTATGTTTAACATTGTGTAGGACCACTTTGAAGAGGTGAAATAAAATGTTATTTATAGGTTACTTGATGCTATAATTTTGCCTGTGGTTCAGTATGTGTGTGAAATTTGGTCTCTGACATTAAGGGAGGAACATAGACTGAGGGTGTTTGAGAACAGGGTGTTGAGGAGAATATTTTGACCGAAGAGAGATGAAGTGACAGGAGGTTGGAGAAAACTGCGCAATGAGGAACTTCATAACTTGTACTCTTCTCCAAGTGTAATTAGAATGATCAAGTCAAGTAGGATGAGGTGGGCGGGCATGTAGCACGCATGGGGGAGAAGAGGAATGCATATATGATATTTATGGGAAAGCCAGAAGGAAAGAGTCCACTGGGAAGACCAAGACGCATGCATGTGGATAATATTAAACTGGTTCTTAGATAGGACGGGATGGTATGGATGGGGTTGATCTGGCATAGGATAGGGATCAGTGGAGGGCAGTTGTGAATAGGGTAATGAACCTTCGGGTTCCATAAAATGCTGGGTTGCGTGATTAGCAAAATGTCAGCTCAACTCTAATGGTTATTCGCTGTTGAATATATTTGCTGACGAAAGAGTTCCTGTGCACAGAATCTTCAAATAATGTCGAAACCTGGCGAATCGGCAGCCATATTCCCTCTGACTTGAATTTGTATAAACTTTATTGTAAACGTAATAAACATGGAACATTTTAACAAACTGTTTATCGTAATTTGTCTGGAGTGACAGAAGAAATTTATGAAATCCCTCAGAGTATTTCCTTCTTTTTGCCATGATCAATATTCGAACCCTTCAACTCCCGATAGCGAAATAGCTAACCATTGCACAGAGACGTGAGTCAATTGCACAACAGACTCGTTGCAGATGTAACGTGTCTCAACTGACGTCACTGTTACAAACGAGTGTCAGATGAGCTACTGCTAAGGTCCGTACAAGATAAACTTGGAGATGACAGCCGCTGCTCTGCACTGGTAGCCACTGTTTATATCTGTCCCTACCGGATAGAAGACACATCGCGTCTGCGTTACTGAAAAGAATCGGTTAATGGAATTTATGAAAATGTAATCTCAGCCCTGCAAATCATGTGGAAAACATCAATACACTCTGTGAACAAGCTGCAGTCTTCTTAACGTTGCAAGCACGCTGCATGCATAGAAGCAACTACTTTTTAAAGGACTAAATATATTACTCACTGTCTTCGCTCGCTTGGAAACCGGGATCGTGGGTTCGAATCCCACTCAGGGCATGGATGTTTAGTTTGTGTGTGTGCATTTTGCTGTGTTTGTGTACAGGCATAGGTCTTGCGGCGAGCTGATCACGCGCCCAAGGAGCCCTACCGAATGTGTAAGATCTAGAAAAACCAAAGTCTACGGAGAAGTTCATGGAGGTAAGCCTAGGCCCACTGGGGCTTTAGTGCCAAGGGAAAAGAAAATAGATTACTTAACAACACATTTTCAACCACTGTAGACATGTAAAGTCTGATGAAAATTGTTATGGGTAGTGATTTGGGAAGATCGTGGAAATAAGGGCTCCTGGTCTATTTAAAATAAGAAGTCCTGGGAGGAACTAATCTCTTACTTTACTTTGATACGACACGGACCGAAAGAAAAATTAGGGGCGACACACATACACACTAACAGCAAGGTGATCTCACGAATCACGTAACAACAAATTCGGAGGTAGCACAAAGAGACGCTCAGGTGCGGGGGGGGGATACACAGGCACAGACGGGTACGCAGGCAACAAGATGATTACGTAAGGATCTTTTTTTTTTTTGCAAAATAAGGAAAGATTGCTAAGGACACTATTAAGTAACTTATCTGGGAAATATGGGGAGGTTACGAATGATGTCCGACATAACGACTGAGATGTGAAATGGTATCTTCTGAATGCTTTTTACTCCCACTATATAGCAATTTATCGAGAGAAGATCATGAACTGTAGGAAGAAGAGGATGCAAGACAGATGAAGCAGAGGATATGGAGGGAAAAAGTAGAAGGATTAGTTTATAAGAAGAAAGATAGGCAGGGCGGTCAGAAACTGGAGGATGGACAACTCAAAAATTCGAAAAATGAACCTTACTAACATCATCTCACGTTATTGGATTTGAGGTCCTTGCAGCGGTGATTATGAAGTTTAGTGTCTGCCGTGATGTGACGTCATGTAGTCCTGTAAATTTCACCTATGTTTAGGAGGAATATTTCGCCTCCATCTTCAGAGTTGATGAGTAAGTCAAGCATGTTTATGATTGAAAACTGCTTCTTGCGTGTTGCTTCTTTGGCTTGTTCTTAGTTACTGAAGACAGAGGCAGCAAATTGTTTCGAAATATCGGTGAACTTTTATCGGTCTACAAGGAGTGACAACGCAGAACATAGTGAAGCTTTACGGTCTAACGTGTTAGCAAAATATGCTCATTAAGGGTAGAGGATTAATGACGACCAGTATGTAGCTGCTGTGAAGGAAGGGAAACTTCTGGACAAGACGTCCGTTATGACTGGTCACGGACCCCAAGGCCCCTGTCACGTCGAGCAGATGTTGAGAGACTGATAGATGTGCACGTAACTCGCATTGACGTAAGTAAAACATTACTGACGTCACTGATTTCACTCGGATTCTTTTTAAGATTGGCTACAGCAATGCTACAGAGTGAAGATGGCTCAAGAGATAATTCCTCTGACCTGGAGGCTATTTGGGAGCTTCCTCTTTCGCATCTCGGCCGGGACACACACTATACTGACTGAAAGTTTTCGTGGTTTATCTCAGTCCCTCAAAACAAATTCCAAGATAGCAGGTTAAATTATTATTATTTACTGAAATTCAAATATTTTGCACAATACTAATGGCATCTACTGACACGTTTAAATAAACAATAAAAAACACAAATATGTAATTTTTTGTAAATATAATTTCACTTAAATTAATTTTCACATTTTAAAACAATCTCTGTGGAATGCGTCCTGTTGCGTGATCAGAACTAATCGATTATCATGCTCCGTCTAACTGAACACAGAGAATGTATAACATTTAATTTGTTTTTATTAAAATCACAACATGTTTCGACAGTTTTATCTGGTCATCATCAGGTGAATACTAATGCTTAACAGGTGCTGTATTGAATTGCAAAATGCTTTACCTCTCATATGGGCCCATATTTACAATTATTTCTGTTTCATGACAATATTAGCATGGGCAAAATCTACATATAAAAATGAAATGAATGGTGGATTAAGTAAAATTTAACAACCCTGGAATGAAATGGGGTAAACGAGTCTCGAGCTCCAAGGGTATGAACCTTTATTCCGCTTGTTGCTGGGTGTTGGGTGACGAAGTTAATAACGTGTGACGTTTAAGAATCTGGAACAATGACATTTGCAACCTAAGTCGTTAATTTTGATGTATTAACTACTGCTATATGCTTAATGAAGGGATTACTCTTATACTTACGGACTGATGGATGTTTGCTAGCCTAACTAGGCCATGGTTACCCAGCAAATTGGTTAAGGTGACAAGGCTAGGGACATGCATTCAAAATGTCTCTAATTCGAATCTTGATCTTGAAACAGAACATCCTGAAAATTTTAAGGATTTTTCTTTAGCTCCTCCGTGCTGATTCAGGGAAAATACATTAAAACAGGCCACGACCGCTTCCATTCATATCCGTTTATACTCATTATTCACGAATAATTCTACCATTCGTCGTTATATAATTATTCGCTTCTGACAGCTTCGTGATATGAACCATAAATAAAACACGTAATGTCTAAACACTTGTCGGTTTCAATCTGTTTCCGCTATATTTTCGGTTTCCTACTTGTAACGACATCAAAAATAAAAATACAAAATAGTGAATAAAGTTTCACACTTCGAAATTCGTATATTTTTGATGATATGGAAAGGTCTCACGCCTGTCGAGGACGTCAAAGTTGCTACTCTGTTTTGAGATGAGATGTCTTTTGAATTTGTAGATGGATATTTATTAACAAATGTACACGGCTCCATATCGCATGTTTTCACCGCCATGAAAACATAAATCTTCGTACTCTTTTTGCGAAAAATTAGTCAAATTTAGATAAAAATAGGTATTAATATTCAAAACAATGACTACTATCGTACTTATTTTAAAAATGAGGAAAACAAAAAAAATATTATGTATCTAAAATATAAAACAATAGTTATGCCGTAACTAAGACACACAAAGATATCATTAAGTGAATCACTAATGAACAAAACAAAAACACAAAATAGTTTATAACTAAAGCATAAATCAATGGTTGTTTTGCAAATGAAAAGCAACACATAAATCTCACAGCTAAAGCAAAATAAAATCATAACTAAAAGAGAATTTTAAGACAAACGTAAAATGAAGTACATCTGTATGTTAGAAGCGCCCCTGTGTCTGCCCCTGGCTCTGTACTAGCTTCTTTCTTGATCGCGACTGCAACGCCTGATGAACGGGACCGGTGAGTGCTGCAGGATCGAGCCTGCCCCTCTACACCTCGGCAGCCCGGCAGCTCAGCCACTCTCATGGCCAGGATGCGGGATAGACGACTAAGGGCTATGGGTTCACAGAAAGATGCAAGAGAATTCTCTTTCCTCATTCCGTATAGTCACTAGGCCACGAGTTGCACTGTTGTTCTTACTCCCTCATTTGGTTAAGACAATTAAGAACTCTGTCACTGTCTAGACTATATAGCGTCCAGTGGGAGGATTTTAGATGAATTGGGAAGGATTTGGCTGTGACCTAATCGAGGTACCATCTGGGTTTTTGTCAGGAGGGACTGAGGAAAATCACGAAAAATCTTGACCCGTGTTCGAGATGAGAGTCGAACAAAACACCCTCCCAGAATATGAGTGCAACATCACCACAACACCAACCCGTTCTTGTGAATCACAGTTCGATTCCGGGCAGGAGCAACGGATTTATCTCTCTTCTTCAGTCGGTACAGTGACTGGTCTAAGGGTTAGGTGACCAAAAAATCGTGGTTCTGGCAAAGCCAAGAGATGTTTTCTTGTCCACAGCGTCTAGAGAGGCTTGGAGCCGGGATAACGCAGTCGGTATAGCGACTGGTTACGGGCTGGATGACCGAGAGATCGGAGCTCGAGTCCCGGTGAGGCAAGAATTTTCTCTTCCCCACGTCGTCGCGACCGGCTCTGGGACCCACTCAACCCCCTATCCAATGGGCACCGGGGCCTCTTTCCCCGGGGGTAAAGCGGCAGGGGCGTGAAGCTGACCACTCTCCTCCAGCTAGTGCCGAGGACAAGAAAATGTGGATCTATACATCCATTCTTCCATACGTCTTCATGGCGTAGTGCTTAATTAGTTAAGCACAGGGACAATTTTACCTTTTGCAGAGAGTTTTGGTGCGCAGTCAGCGCATTTAAGTGGCGCTGGGGTTTCTAGTACACAGATCTACTTCCCCTCCTCCATGGAGAGATGCTTAATTAAGCAGAAGGACAGATTAACTACCGGCAGCTGTACTCAACGACACGAGTCACGCTGCTAATTCGTATTTGGACGCTGGTTGCAATCAGAACGCTGAGACCTGAAGCAATGACCATGTCCATGCAGCCGCGATATCTCGGTCGGTAAAGCAGCTATACTGCGGGCTGTACGACTGAGCACGCGGGCTTCAATTCTCTGCACGAGCAAGAGATTTTTCTCTTCTCTTTAGCTTTCACGCAAGCTCTAAAGCCCATGCTCTTTTCCATCCAATAGGTAGCGGGGGGGTGTTTCCCTGGGGCTAAGACGACAGGAGCGTGAAGCTAACCAGTCAACACGATCTAGCGCCCACGTTAAGAATATATGGAACTATATCCACACATCCCCACACGTCATCGAGTCATGATGCTCTTTTAAAGCACAGAAGAATGTATTATTCAAATTTCCTTACCACAACTGCGTCTAAATCGGCTCTAATCTATACAATCCTAATGACTTACGGATGTGTTTAGCCATTCTCTGCAGATAAAGGCGGCTGGAAAGTAAAGATAATTTGGTCTAACGTCGAAGTTAACAAGGCACTAAGATTTAAATCTACTACTCATAAATTTATTTATCGTATCAGGTCCGTGCCATAGCTCAGGCCGTTCTTACTCGGCTTCCAATCTCGGCAAACTGGGTTCGATTCAAGATCAGGTCATGTGGGATATATTATAAACGAAATGGCACTGAGGCAGATTTCCTCCAAGTACTTCGGTATCCCCTGCCAGTTTTCTATTCCACCACCTGCTCCACATCCGTCAGTAATTCCTCGCTGTAGTCTCGGTACTGACTGCGTTGTTACAACATCAACATCACTGGCAAAACAGCCTTTGTTGAGCTATAAAACTCCTTACAAAAATCTGACAGATTTGTCTATTCCGTCGTGAATGGGACCAGCCGGTTTTCATCCCTTTGAATTTCACAACAATACATTTTTACACACCGAGGCCGTCAGCCTCGCGTCCAAACCCCAACCTGGAGGGCCAGACTTCTGTACTTATGTTCCCCAGTGACAGGGTGACCCAGTTATACTCCCAGGCACCGGGTTCGCTTTTCGTCGCCTTCTACATGTCACAGGGCTACGGTGGAGGTGTTCTAACTCTCCTCCATGCGGGCCGTCTTTATGATATTACACATACATTACATTGCTCATGGAGCTGAGCCCTTCTTGAAGAGCCGCCAATTCTGCAGTTACTCAAGCGTTTCCCAGCATTTTATGGAGCCCGAATGTTCATTATCGTATTCACAAGAGCCCTCCAATGGTCCCTATCCTGAGCCAGATCAATCCAATCCATACCAATCCATCCTATCTCTCTAAGATCAATTTCAATATTGTCCACTCACCTACACCTTGATCTTTCCAGTGGTCTCTTTCCTTCTGGCTTTCCCACCAATATCCTACAGGCATTCCTCTTTTCCCCCATTCGTGCTACATGCCCTGCCCACCTCATTCTCCTTGACTTGACCATTCTAATTATACTTGGAGAGGAGTACAAGTTATGAAGCTCCTCATTATGCAGTAACTTAAAAAATGGAATGAAAGATAAAGAATTGATCGATTTGTCACTCGAATTCGATGTGAGGATTACGAGTATATAGTTCGTTCATATTCGTGTAACTTTTAGTAGCGTTGTCTCAACTGCGACAGCTCATCCTGTAGGCAAAGCGACTGCCTATGCAATTCGGTTCATTTGAGGCTGGTGTGAGATGGCTGCCAGCCTGCGAGGACGTGAGCCCGGGAACAAGGGAACGTCCACTGTTGAAGATAGAACAGACTGAGAAGACTTGGCACGTGCTGTAGTGAGCTGCAGAGTGTGTGAATTAGCGAACTTGAATAAGAGAACTTGTAACCGAAGGGCGAATAAATCCAGTCATTAGGAAATAGAACCCGAGATTTTCGTCACGTGTATCCCCATACAAGCCTATGATTCAGTTAGGAGGGAAGTATTGTACAATATTCTGATAGAGTTTGGGATACCCATGGAACTAGTTAAGCTGATTCAAATGCGTTTAAACGAAACTTATAGTAAAGTCCGTATAGGCAAATATTTGTCCGATAAATTTCCTATCCAGAAGGGTCTAAGACAGGGAGATGCTTTATTGCCACTCCTTTTCAACTTTGCTTTAGAATATGCACATTAGGAAGGTCCAGGAAAACCAGCTGGGACTGAAATTAAACGGGACATATCAGCTGTTGGCCTATGCTGATGATGTGAATCTACTGGGTGATAATATAGATACTGTGACGTGGACGGCGCAACGCTTGGTAAACACCCCACTCCGCGGTGACGTAACAGCATAGGAGCCGCTGCCGCTGCTAGGGTAAGAGGCCAGTAAACACCCCCTCCTCGCGGTGACGTAACAACACTTCCCACAGTGACGTAACAGGGGACACCGCGGTTACTACGCAGTAATAAAGAACTCTCGGCAGCGTTCCCCAGCAACGCCTGTAAACACGGCGTTTACGCAGCAGTGAAGCGATGTGGGTTGTCCTGTGTCCGACTGAGGGTTTATAAGGGAGACTGGAATGAGTAAGGAGAGAGTTAAAATGTAGCAGCCGCCGGACACAGTTGAATGGATTCGCCGAGATAGGTGAACGGCAATTTAGTAGTGAATTGTATAAGATTAAGATTGTATAACTGTGAAGCGAATGAGAGCAAATATTCGCTACGAGTACATCCTTAACTGACGTGAGATTATTTGTCGCGTGACATAACCGACGTGTGCCAATACCATAAAGAAAAAACACAAATTTTAATTGACGCAAGTAAAGAGGTAGTTCTAGAAGTAAACACAGAGAAAACTAAGTATATGTTGCTGCCTCGTCACCAAAATGCAGGGCAAAATCATGACATAAAGATAGGAAACAGATGTTTTGAAAATGTGGCACAGTTCAGATATTTGGGAACGACGATAAAACCAAAACTTGATTCAGGAGGAAATTAAGAGGAGATTGAACTCGGGTAATGCTTGCTACCATTCAGTTCAGAACCTTTTGTCTTCTCGTCTGCTGTCCAAAAACATAAAAATTAGAATATACAAAACTATTATTTTGCCTATGATTCTGTATGGGGGTGAAACGTGGTCTCTGACATTAAGGGAGTAACATAGACTTAGGGTGTTTGAGAACAGAGTGTTGAGGAGAATATTTGGACCGAAGAGGAATGAAGTGACAGGAGGTTGGAGAAAACTACATAATGAGGAGCTTCATAACTTGTACTCTTCTCCAGGTATAATTAGAATGATCAAGTCAAGGAGAATGAGATGGGCAGGGCATGTAAAACGAATAGGGGAGACGAGGAATGCATATAGGATATTGATGGGAAAGCCAGAAGGAAAGAGACTACTGGGAAGACGAAGACGTAGGTGGGTGGACAATATTAAAATCGATCTTAGAGAGATAGGATGGGGTGGTATGGATTTGATTGAGCTGGCTCAGGATAGGGACCAGTGGAGGGCTCTTGTGAACAACGTAATGAACCTTCGGGTTCCATAAAATCCTGGGAAATTCTTGAGTAGCTGCAGAATTGGCTTCCCCTCAAGAAGGGCTCAGCTCCGTAAGTAAGTAAGTAAGTAAGTAAGTACCCCCATGCACGTGACACTATATTTGTCATACAATGAATGAATATGAGAGCAAATGCAAGAAGCAGAACATCATAGCGTGCATCATTCCTAAGCAGCTGGTTGAATGAATAAATGCATAAGGGGTGGGCCATGATATTCTGGCCTTTACATTGCGATTTTCAAAGATCTATTGTGCTCCCCCTTTTGATCAATCCTTTATCAATCCTATACTTTGAAACTTCAGCTGGTTACTCCGAAACGTCCACAACAATGTATGAAATTATACGGCCTCATATCCCAGAAGACCGTAACCTTCGTCCAACTTTTTAGTCTGTGTGAATGATGGTGCATATTTTTTGTAATCATCCTGTTGCAACCAGA